CACGGAAGATTTCTGCGGTTTGTGGACAGATCGTTGCTACTAAACACGGCTCCGGTCTTAGAGACCTTGCGTTTAAAGGTTGATAGGCAATGCAGCGACGTAGATACCGGCGCGCTTGCCGAGGGGTTCAACAGAATGTGAGCTTGTGTTTGGTTAAATTAGCTTTCGTCACAAGAGGATTTATGTATTTATTTGACCAAGTTCGCATACGTTTATTACGCCTTGTTTTATTTATGATGTTTGTTTTTTTTAGGTGATCTGATGCAAAGTACATTAATATTGAAAAGAAAATAAAATAGGTTATTTGGAAAACCATTTTTGTTCTATGCATCTCACACCAAGACATAACGAAGAGTTTCTTGCTAGGTTATTTGGAAAACCATTTTTGTTCTATGCATCTCACACCAAGACATTGTAGGGTTATTATTAATGTCAAAACAAATAAAATATAAACCTTAAAATCTAAACCATAGTCTATGATTATTGAACCCAAACATAATGTTAAATTTTGAAAAAGTGTAATTTTGAAAATTATCTTAAAATTTATCAAAAAGAACTGATTGAACAAGAAAAACAAATAAGAAGGAAAAAAAAAGGACAAAATTTAGAATTAGGTCTTCAGTGACTACGAGTTCCTCGTCTTGCCACTGTCAAGAAACAACAGGTTAGCCATTTCTTACTTAGTTAAACTATCTTAGGGCTCTCTGATGTCTGAATTTGTGAATAGCATCATCGAAGGATTGTCGTTTTTTTATTTTGGGTATTATTCATTTTCTCTTTTCAAAATCAGATTATTTTAGTGAACCCTAAAAAGCTTCTGTATCCCATTCGTATTCTTCTCTGTACAGACCGAGCCCTAACCTCGTCGTTTTTGCATCTGATTTAATTAGGGTTTTCACATATCTCTCGGTGTTGACAGCGATTAACAATTAGGTTAAAAAGCTTAAGAGAGACATATGGACAGAATCAGTTTGCTGCCCGATGATTTCATCTTGCATATACTTTCACTGCTTCCAACAAAAAATGTCTTGACCACAAGTGTTTTGTCAAAACGATGGAGATATCTGTGGAAGTTGGTGTCTAAACTCACGTACTTTGACACCGACGACAATACTGATCATGGGAGATTTGTGCGGTTTGTAGACAGGTCTTTGTTTCTAAACACTGCTCCAGTCTTAGAAAGCTTGCATTTCAAGTTAGATCGACAATGCAGTGAGGTAGATATTGGGCTTTGGATTAGGATTGTAGCTGAACGAGGTCTGCGTGAGCTGAATTTCGAGTATAGTCATATGATTGCTGAGCCTTGCAAATTGCCTCGGAGCTTGTATACATGTGGAACACTCGTGGCTCTGAAATTACAAAACGTATCGCTTGTGGATGTTCGGTTCCCGGTATGTTTTCATCTGCTCAAAACGTTGCACCTGGATACGGTGATCTTCCTAGACGATGAATCTCCTAAGAAGCTTTTATCAAGCTGTCCTGCTCTTGAAGTCTTGGAACTGGATCGAGGCGGAGGTGACAACGTGTACAGATTTTCTGTTATAGTGCCTTCGTTACAAAGATTTATCTACTCTGCATCAGGAGGTGGTCGTACTGAGCTTGTGGTGAACACTCCTTCTTTGAAGTACTTTAAAACGTTTGATCTTGGTTCCAAGTACGTGATTGAGTACTTGCCTGAGATCGTTGAAGCACATGTCGAGGTCATATGTTCCAATACCGATGATATCCTCAGATCTCTTGCGTCACTCAAACGTCTCTTGTCATGCTTACCCAGAGAGGTAATATACACTTGAACAACACTTTTCAAAATTGAATTGTCATATATATATATATATATATATATATATATATATATATATATATATATGTGGTTCTTTACGTTATTTTTTCTTTTTTTTTTCTGTATCGCAGCCTCGGTCACCTACTGGTTGTGTCTTCCATCAGCTTGAACAGTTGGAGTTTTGCACGTGTGAGACGGAGTGGGATGCACTTATCTCTATGCTCCAACATTCCCCCAAACTTCGATCTCTCAAGCTTAACGAGGTAATATAAAAACCTTTGAAACTAGATACGAAAAGGGTTTTTTCTTGTCTAAATCTTTAATGGTCTTAAATGCACTCTCAGATCCATGACAATTTTGTGGGATGTTGTACTCTTCACTGGGATGAACCAAGCTCTGTCCCTGAAACGTTGGCGTTGGTTCTTGAGACTTTTGAGTGGAGAAACTACAGAGGATGGGAGATAGAGAGAGAGCTCGCATCTTTTATCTTGAAACATTCGAGGCGTCTAAAGAGTGCGACCTTTTCTCCAACAGCCTACATACTAGTAAGAGAGGAACTTTGTACCACAACACTACAACAAAAATATGGTATGATCACGGAATTGTCGCGCTTGCCGAGGGGTTCAGCAGAATGTGAGCTTGTGTTTTGTTAAATTAGCTTTGTGTCAAGAGGAACTATGTCATTGTAGAAGAATGGCAGAAGGATATATGAATCTGCCTTATATTGGAAACCAAATAGCCACCAAGACATAACAAAGAGTTCTTGCTCAGTTTTTCTGTCTTTTTGTTTTTTGTTTTGCCTTTTTGGTAGTAAGTAGAGAAATTTGAGATTGCAAGGAAAATAATTAGAACACAAATTGTTTGTTTAGCTAAATTTTGTTGCATCTCTTAAAACAGTTGCTCATTTCTCTGTTTCTCCTTCAAACAAAAGGAAAGAAAATATCTCCAATATCAAATCGAGAATGCAAAAGGTAAGAGTAGTTTTCTCTCTTTCAAAAATATGAGTTAAAAACTTAAAACTCTCAAGCTCTTTTATAAAAGCACCTCCAGTGTACAATCAACTTCATTTTTTCACTCCAAAATGGAATCGGAATGTTTTTTCAATGTATAACTCTATATTCTACTCCAAAAATAATATTTTAATTATATTATTATTTTTCTTTGTTATTTTTAGTTTTTAATTTTTAGAAAAACGGAAATGATGTTGTGAGAAAGAGAGAATGAAGGTTGTCTTATTCCATGAGGGAAGAGCTCTTTATATAGAGTACATAGTAGGGTTCCAAGGGAAATCAACATTGGGGAGAAGTGGGCCTAATGGACATCCACCTATGGAACTAATGGGCATCCACTTACCCATAACACTCCCCCTTGGATGTCCATTATACAAAAATATATTCTAAATACATAAGGTGCTGCCTCGTTAAAACCTTTACTAGGAAAACCCTAAGGGAAAAACCTTAGCTAAGGAAAAAGAGTGCAGCGCATAATTACTCCCCCTCATGAGAACACCGTCTAAATGTTTGAGACGACATAATCCAACAAGATGAACTAACTCCTTGAAAGTAGTCGCTGGAAACTCCTTGTTTAAAGAAATCTTCAAAATCTTCACTTGAATAATCTTTAGAATGTTGATATCGCCATTCTTCGTCAGTGCATGGATGTAGTTGATGATTCATCTTGAATCATTCTCTTTGTTTCATTTGACCTCATAAATAAATGACAAAGACTTTGGAAAAGGAGATAGACTATCATCTTTAGACTTCCTTTAGATGTTTTCTCATTTGTGTGTTCTTTGTTGCCTCATTAAAACCTTTCATGGAAAAACCCAATGGGATAAAAACCATGATAAGGAAAAAGAGTACAACCACACATATCATCATATATCTTCCCTTTGGAAGCATCTTCTTCAAGAGATGCATTCCAATAATCAATACCAACTTTTGGAGATTACTATGAGTATAACCTCAGTTAATAAACTCATATGATTATCTTATAATCTTCTAGGTCATTTAAACTTCTAGTCTATGATATTTTTTATAAGTGTATTCTTCAATATACTTCTATTATAAGTAATTATTTCTTGGTCTATATTTGGACTTCGGCCAAACTTCCCTCTACATAAATTCTTGTGAACATATATCTTGTATATATAGTTATCTCATGCTCATTTTGCTTATCTTTGAAAGAGACCAACACATTTCTCAAACATAATTTAAAGTATGATACTTCAAGACCAAATGTGAGCATTCTTTATGTAAATCTTCTAAGGATCTTTTGAGATTACATCTTTTTGTTAAACTGTGAATATGAGATATCTTAAGACAAATTTGTCTTTCCAATATCTTTTATCTAATTTCAACAATTCTTCAGGAATTTCGATGATGTTTAGATTAAAGATCTCTTCTGATCCATAAATGTTTTATAAATATACACTGGGTAACACTTTTGTGATTGTACCCCAATGAGACGTATTTCTCTTCATTTGATCAAATAATTAGAGTTCTTGGGAACATAGTTTTGATATCATTAATCCTTCAGGAATTATATCCTTCAGGGACTTTTATAAAAATGTCATTATTTAGTGGGTCTTATGAGTCAAGTTCTTCTTTCATTGCCACACTTAATGAACTTGAAAGTTGCATCCACCACATGCCTATTATAACCCACTTGTTTTACACTTTTAAGATGTAAGGACTTCTGGTCCAAATACATTTCTCTTTCTAAGAGATTTTAGTTTTGTGTCTATTGCTTCTTTTCGATTTGGCCAAATCATTACTTTGTGTACACAATGCAATAGACTTTGTTTCATGATCCTCTTTCTCATTCATAACATCAACTGCTATAATGCATGCAAATATTTTATTTACGACGTCGATTTGCTTTTATGGTTCCATTTTATTCCATACATGACATAATTAATTCTCGAGATCTCTTCTTTGTCTCAGGTACCTGAATTTCTTTCTTGTCATGTTTAATATCTCTTCTTGAGATCATTTCAAAAACATTTGTTTCCTCGGTTTAACCATTATCAATTTATGCTCATTTTACTTTACCGAGGTCAATATTTGGAACCAACAAGTCTATCACACTTCATGCGTTCTTTAGACTTACTAGCAGCTTGATATTGTCCTTCTGGGAAATCAATTATTCTTAGAGCATTTACAGCTGGTAAGTGACTCAACACTATATTTGGGTCAGTAATTGTATCTGGCAATTGATACAGTAAGTTTTGTGAATGAATTATCTTTTAGACTTTTATTTCACATACTATCGTCTGAGGATCAATGATAATTCATTCTAACTTTAATCTTTCTCCAGCTGTTTTATTTTCTCCCCCTGATGTTGGAAAGACTGAATCACTAAAATGACAGTCTACAAATTGAGCCATATTTAAATCCTTCATGGATAGCTCTAAATATTATCATAGGAGATTAATATCCAACATACATTTACTATCCCTTTCGAGGGTCCATCTTATATTGTTGTGGTGGAGCATTATGGATGTATTCTGCACATCCATAGATCTTTAGATGGAAAACTTTGGTTTCTGACCTAAACCAATTACGATGGGGAGAAATTTTAGTTATTCATTGGCTTTATGCGAATTAATGCTTTTGCATTATGTGTAATTATGAACATTTGCTACTGGATGTTCAACATTTATTCTTACAAACATGTTTTTCTCAACAAAGATTTAAGATGTGATTTCACTAGCACTACCAAGTAATCTCGCAAACTTCAGGTTGCAGATATGTAACATTGATACATACAACCACTTGTTGATATATTTAAGAAACACCATAACATTTCTCTTACTGGATGATCAGTCCATATAATGGTTTATTAGACCACAAAAGTTTCTTATATTCTTTCTAGAAATTGGATACATTCCAAATCTATTTTGGCTAGTTGGTAATTGTATAATCATAATGTCTTATGATTAAACATCACATTATAGATAATTAAGAAGAATCTTCAAGTTCTTCAATAAATCTTTACATGATGTATTTTATTTCGCATAATTCTTGAACCGAAATGGTCTAACCAGCTCATGCCAAACTATGTTATATTCGGTAAACTTCTAGTTTACTACATAACATTTACATCTCCTATATTAATCTTTGTCTATGATGAGGCATTAGATAATGTATGTTATTTTTTCAAAATAATTTTACACCATTGAGTTACATTATATATGATTCATCAGGATTATTTTTAGTGTGAACATAATCTTCTAGATGTTCCACTTTCTAGTGATTGAGGGATTCATCCATTCTCCCCCTCGAGATGATGTCACTTCATGTTCATCAATCTCGAATGGAATCCTAGTATAAAATCAATAATATATCCAACTTGAATCATGTTTTATATCTTTGATTCTTTAAACTTTTTATATTTCTATTATGTGTTTGATTCTTTTCACTTCTGGGATTTCAAAGATATAATGCATCAAAAATTATTTACTATAAGCAAATATAAATTTATATACTCTTCTGGAGATGTGTATCTTTTATTTGCTGTCATCTTTATTTTCTCACTTCTTATGAGAATTTGAGTTCTTGAAATAAAACTCTTTGGTTTTGACCTTAACATGAACTATAAAAGATTCATATTCATGTCTATGATCATATCTTTAATCATTCATATCACATTCACTTCAGGGAATGGATCAAAACCAATTAGACAAGATTCAAGATTTTCATTAGTAACTCATTATTTTATCAAAATAATTTCTTAAACTTTCTTCAATAATATTTTGTCAGCTGGACAATATATGCCTTTTATCATCATTGATTTACATTATCTTCCAGATAAATAAAAATCATTTATAGACTTCAAGTCTTGTAATCTTAAATGCAAATACAAAATATTCATATAGAGGATAATTGAAAAATAAATAAATATTATCAAACATATATATAAACAAAATATAATAATATAATAAAATAAATAATTAATATAAATAACATTACCTTTTTATTATCACTTCAAGTGACAAATTTAATTTTAAGAATTTATTTGCTATTGTGTCTACTGGACAACAATATTTTTAAAATATTCCTTAAATATATTTATGCTATTGTATCTGCAGGACAACAATATTTTCATAATTTCTTCTTATACATTTTTATTAGTAATATATTTTCACTTATAAACTTCAAGTTTATATGGTCTGAGATGCTCTATCAGATCATATCACTTCAGATGATTGTTCATTTTCTTTAGATTGCTATATTAGATCACTTCTAGTGATCATGCCTTTCTTTTTACTCAATGGTAAAATTATTACATTTTAAAATCATGTAATGATAGAGAAATACACTTATTAGTATATAATAGTAATAATTGATTTGTTAAACCAAATCAAACCAATAAATAAAACAAATCAAGGGAATAATTATACATTTATTTATAATATTAAATCAAGATATGCAATAATATAATATATATTATTATTAGCAATGATCAAATGATGATTTAGCAATAATAAACAATCTCAAAATCAGTAATAAGCAATATACGAAGTTATAGTGCAAAATCAAACAATAATATTTTAATAAAACTGATTAAGATTCATTTTAACAAAGCAGTCAACAATCATTAAATAATAATATTAAAAATATATATTCAGAGTGATTTTAGCACTTATATTCAATTATAAATTCATGTGGTCAACAGGTCAACTTAAAAATTAATATGGTCAAGAATGTAATAATATTTCAAATTAATGCAAACAATGCAAATTAATTCAGATTTCTTCAATTTTCAATAATTATTCAATTTAGCAATTAATTAATTACGAAAATCAATTAAAATAACAAATATTGAAAAGCAAAAAAATAAATAAGAACAATATATATAAATGAAAATAAAATAATAGACAATATAAAATCCTTCTGGGATAAATAATATCAATAAAATTTATAAATCCTGCTGGGATATTTAGTTGAAATATATTTATCCTTCTTGGATAAAAAATAAAAATTAAATCCTTCTAGGATAACAGAAAATATAAATCCTATTAGGATATATAAATAAAAATATATAAATTCTTCTGGAAATATAAATAAATTATATAAATCCATATGGGATCTATAAATAAATATATAATATAAATTATTTCTTCTGGGATATAGTGAAATATAAATCCTTCTAGGATATAAATAAAAATAGAAATAAAATATAAATCCTTCAAGGATATATAATAAAATAGAAATAAAATATAAATCCTTCAGGATATAAATAAAATAGAAATCCTTCAGGATATAAATAAAATAAATAAAATAAACATAAAATATAAATAAATATGAATCTTTCAGGATATAATAAAAATAAATAATATATAAATTCCTTCAGGATAAAAATAAAATATAAATCCTTCAGGATATAAATAAAATACAAATCCTTCAGGGATGTATATAATTGAAATATATAATTCCTTCAAGGAAAAATAATATATAGATCCTTCAGGGATATATATATATTTTTTTATAATATTAATCCTTCAGAGATATAATTTAACCAGACAAAAAAAAAATATATATATATATTCTAACAATTGAATAAATATATTACGAAAATAAAATAAATATATATAAAATATATGTTTGCTAAATCCAAAATATTATCAATAAGTAATATAGATTAAATATTGATAGAAATGGATTTTAGAATGATAAACACAAATCAACAAAGTAATAGAGATTACTCATTGAATTTTGTGAATTCAAACTATAAAAATTATTAGAACTTTTGTGCTGATAATTGTGAGAAAGAGAGAATGAAAAGTTCTCTTATTCCATGAGGGAAGGACTCTTTATATAGAGCCCATAGTAGGATTCCAAGGGAAATCAACATTGGGGAGAAGTGGGCCTAATGGACATCCACCTATTGAACTAATGGACATCCACTTACCCATAACAAATGAAAGTTTATTTGGAGAAAATAATGGTGGACTAGTTGGTACGGTGTGGTACCTCATTTTGAAATAAATAAAAATGGGAAAATAGCATTTGCAGTGGGAATTTAAAGTAGAGCTGCCCAGAAAAACTGATTGAACAGAAAATCAAGAAAAAAAGGGCAAAATTTAGAATTAGGGCTCTTCAGGACAACGAATTCCTCTTCTTGACATTGTCGAGAAGCTAACAGGTTAGCCATTTCTTACTTCTTTAAACTTCGGAGGATTGTCGTATCTCTAAATTTGGGTATTTTTCATTTTCTCTTCACCTCGATTTATTCCAGTGAACTCAAATTCAGAAAGCTTCACACTTTGATTGCCGTATCCCATTCGCATTCTTGTCTTTGTAGAGATTGAAGAAAGAAAGAAGCAAAAAACCTGCTATCGTCGTTTTTTTTCGGTCTCTGATTTAGGTTTTTCATCTCTCGCTGTTGGCAGCGATTTAGCAATTGGGTTAACAAAAAAGCTTGAGAGAGTGATATATATGGACAGAATAAGTTTGTTGCCCGATGATTTCCTCTTGCATATACTTTCACTGCTTCCTACAAAAGATGTCTTGTCCACAAGTGTTCTGTCGAAACGATGGCCGTATCTGTGGAAGCTGGTGCCTAAACTCGAGTACATCGAAATCAACGACAATACCGATCATGAGAGATTTGTGCGGTTTGTAGACAGGTCTTTGCTTTTGCACACTGCTCCGGTCTTAGAGAGTTTGCATTTCAAGTTAGGTCGACAATGCAGTGAGACAGATATTGGGTTCTGGATCAGAATTGCAGCTGAAAGAGGTCTGCGTGAGCTTAACTTCGATATTGTCATATGAATGATGTGCCTACGAGATTGCCTCAGAGCTTGTATACATGTGGAACGCTCGTGGCTCTGAAACTACAAAACGTGTCTCTTGCGGATGTTCGGTTCCCGGTATGTTTTCAGCTGCTCAAAACGTTGCACCTGGATTTGGTGATCTTCCTGGACGATGAATCTCCTAAAAAGCTTTTGTCAAGCTGTCCTGTTCTTGAAGTCTTGGATTTGAATCGACCCGAAGATGACTACGTGGACACATTCTCTGTTACGGTGCCTTCGTTGCAAAGGTTTATCTATCGTGCAGTAGAAGGTGGTGATGAGCTTGTGATGAACACACCTTCTTTGAAGTACTTTCGTTCAAAAGATTTTGGGTTGAGGTGTGTGATTGAGCAGATGCCTGAGATCGTTGAAGCACATGTCGAGGCTATATGTTCCACTGATGATATCCTCAGATCTCTTGCACCAGTCAAACGTCTCTTGTTATGTTTGTCCTTAGAGGTTAATATATATATATATACTTTGACAAACGTTATTATAACTCTCTTGTGATTGTTTTGGATTTTGACGTTTTATGTTATCTCGTACCGCAGTCTCCGTTTCCTAGCGGTTGTGTCTTCCATAAGCTTGTACACTTGGAGTTTTGCACATGTGAAATAGAGTGGTTTCTACTAATGTCTATGCTCCAACATTCCCCGAAACTTCGATCTCTCAAGCTTAACAAGGTAAATAAATTAAAAAACCTTTGAAACCCTGAAAAGGTTTTCTTGCCTAAATCTTTAATGGTCTTAAATGCAACTCTCAGATCCATGAAAAAGGTGGGGAATATCATCCTATTCACTGGATTGAACCAAGCTCTGTTCCTGAAACGCTGGCGTTGGTTCTTGAGACTTTTGAGTGGAGAAACTACAGAGGATGGAAGGTAGAGAGACAACTCGCAGCTTTTATCTTGAAGCATTCGAGGCGTCTAAAGATTGCCACCTTTTCTCCACCGGCCAACACAGTCATGAGAGTTGGACTTCGTACCACACTAAAACGGAAATATGGTATGATCAGGGAATTGGCGCGTTTGCCGAGGGGTTCAACAGAATGTGAGCTTGTGTTTGGCTAAATGAGTTTTTGTATGAACAAGAAGAATGTGTAACTGTAGTAGACAGGCAAACACTCTCACTGGGATAAATTGCAGTTGATTTTGACCAAGTCAACAGACGCTTTTTATTTGTAATGGGTGATCTGATGATATTGAAGAAAGAAACCAAATTTGAAAAGCCATTTTTGTTCTATGCATTTTCTTGAAACATAGCTTCTACAAGGGAGAGAATAGCCACCCAGACATAACAAAGAGTTCTTGCTCAGTTTTTCTGTCTTTAAGTTTTTGTTTTGGCTTTTTTTGTTGCAAGTATAGAACATTTGATTGAGATTGCAGGGAAAATAATTAGTTGAGAACAAATTATTTGTTTAGCTTAATTTTGTTGCGTCTCTTAAAACAACTGCTCATTTTCATTATGTTTCTCTTTCAAATAGTTTTGAAATCAAGAATTAGAGTTCGAACTCAAACCTATATTATTGAAGAAATCCACTTCTAATGTTAATTAATTTAGTTGATGTTTACTTTGGTAACCAAGTGAACGATTTTTATACGAGTACAACTAATAGGTATTTCAACGAGTTTCTCACTTGGAAAATAATGAAAAATAAATTAAAAAGAACACAAAAATTCAAAAATGATGGTATGAATCAAACTCACTTTACTTTAGAATAATATTATTAAAATAGTTCGTATATTGTTAATTTGTAAAAACATAAATAAATATATATCATGAATCAAACTATATTTTTATCATGCATAAATTTATATTATATACTAATTATTTGATATTTGTTAGCTTTGATACAATTGTTATTAAATAATTATTTTTGTTTTACTTTTTTTTTTACAATATAAGTGTCGTTCTAGATTTTCAATGCATAATTTATATTAACAAAGAAACTAAATGAAACAGTGAATTAATTAGGGGCATTTCAGAAGTTTTGTGCAACAACCTTTAGAGGCACTTTTATTGAAACAGAGGGAATATTTGTTAACATTGATACAATAGTATTAAATAATTATTGTTTTACTTAATGAAATATATAATATTAAATTGTTAAGAAAATAATTTTGAGAACTGAAAAAAAAAGATTATATTCTGACATTTCTCTAACCTTATGTAATTATTGGTTAAATTCTATATTGATAATATTTTATCATATTATGTATTATGTATTTCTCTATTAGTATTGTTATCAATATTTATGATTGTGTTATTAATATAGATTAATAATAAATGTAAGATATAATTTGTTATGTTTTAGAAAAATATTAAGAAAGAAATTTTAAATTAAACTATTAAATCAAACTAAAAACGTGAAAATATTATATTTTTGAGAGTTTGTAAGAGATTTTACCGATAGAGGTTCTATAATAAACCAAAAAGAATATGTCAAAAAAAAAAAAAAAAAAAAAAAAAAAAAAAAAAACCAAAAAGAACTAAAAACAAAGGAGAAGAAGAAGAAGAGGGTAAAATTAAGAATTTTGGCTCTTCAGTGACGCCGGTTCCTCCTCTTTCAACAGGTTTGTCATTTCTTACTTCGTTAAACTTCCTTTCTGTTTTCGGAATGTGTAGATAGCATCGGATATTTTTGATTTGGGTATTTTTCATTTTCTCTTCAGTTTGATTTTGTTCCAGTGAACTTTAAAAAGCTTCAAACTTTGATTGTCGTTTCGGTCTCTGATTTAGGGTTTCATCTCTCGGTGTCGACAGAGATTAGCAATTGGGATAAAAAGCTTAAGAGAGTCATTCATGGACAGAATCAGTTTGTTGCCCGATGATTTCCTCTTGCATATACTTTCATTGCTTCCTACAAAAGATGTCTTGTCCACAAGTCTTCTGTCGAAACGATGGAGAAATCTCTGGAAGTTGGTGCCTAAACTTGAGTACATCGAAATCAACGACAACACCGATCATGGGAGATTTGTGCGGTTTGTAGACAGGTCTTTGTTTCTAAACACTGCTCCGGTCTTAGAGAGTTTGCATTTCAAGTTAGCTCGACAATGCAGTGAGGCAGATATTGGGTTTTGGACTAGAATTGCAGCTGAACGAGGTCTGCGTGAACTTAACTTCGAGTATAGTTATACGATTGATGAGCCTATCAGATTGCCTCAGAGCTTGTATACATGTGGAACACTCGTGGTTTTGAAACTAGAAAACGTGTCTCTTGTGGATATTCGATTTCCGGTATGTTTTCAGTTGCTCAAAACCTTGCACCTGGATACGGTGATCTTCCTAGACGATGAATCTCCTGAGAAGCTTTTGTCAAGCTGTCCTGTTCTTGAAGTCTTGGAATTGGACCGAGCCAAAGACGACAACGTGGACACATTCTCTGTTACGGTGCCTGCGTTGCAAAGTTTTATCTATTGTGCAACAGAGGGTGATTCTGAGCTTGTGATGAACACACCTTCTTTGAAGTACTTTAAGACATTAGACTCTGGTTTTAGGTGTGTGATTGAGTACTTGCCTGAGATCGTGGAAGCACATGTCGAGGTCATATGTTTAAATACTGATGATATCCTCAGATCTCTTGCACCACTTAAACGTCTCTTGTTGTGCTTACCCACAGAGGTAAATATACACTTAGACAACACTTATTGAAATTGAATTGTCATTGTGGTTCTTAATGTTTGTTTGGTTATTTTGTACCGCAGCCTCGGTTACCTACTGGTTGTGTCTTCCATCAGCTTGAACACGGAGTTTTGCACATGTGAAACTGAGTGGGATGTACTTATCTCTATGCTCCAACATTCCCCTAAACTTCGATCTCTCAAGCTTAACGAGGTAAATAGAAACCTTCTGAAAACTATATACAAGAAGGGTTTTCTTGTCTAAATCTTTAATGGACTTATGTGCACTCTCAGATCCATGACAATGTTGTGGGATGTTGTCCTTTTCATTGGGATGAACCAAGCTCTGTCCCTGAAACGTTGGTGTTGGTTCTTGAGACTTTTGAGTGGAGAAACTACAGAGGATGGGAGATAGAGAGAGAGCTCGCAGCTTTTATCTTGAAGCATTCAAGGCGTCTAAAGATTGCAACCTTTTCGCCACCATCAAGCACACTAGTGAAAGAGGAACTTCGTACCACACTACAACAGAAATATGGTATGATCACGGAATTGGCGCGCTTGCCGAGGGCTTCAGCAGAATGTGAGCTTGTGTTTGGTTAAATTTCCATCTTAAATTTCCACCTAATTTCCAAGAGGAACTATATTCTTTTACATTTATATTGGAAACCAAGTGAACCATTTTTAAATTTAAGTCATATTTTTATATAAAGATTTATTACTTATTGAGTATGCATAGATCATTATTGCATAAAATTCAGTGACAACTACATGTTTCGAAATCAATATTGCAAAGACCTTTCTTTGGACGACAAAAGTGATTGCAATCAGCGTCCACAGAGCACGGTGGTCCAACGTCTCTCCGTGATCTATCCACCACCTGTGGCGGTGGCTGTGGCGGTGGAGAACAGCTACAATCCGTTTGTGACACACAATCACATTGTTGCGGCAGCCGCATGGCTAGGAACCCTGTTTCACCAATATATTTACAATATACAATTCTTAGAAAGATGGTTTTATGAATGTGGAGAATAATATTATCTTCAAAAGGAAAAAGGAAAATCCGATCGATTGGTATGTTTGATAATGGTACCATGCATATGACAATCAAGAAAAATAAATAATCAAACATTTGCATCAATGATGGAAACAAGCAGAGCAGATGATATATATGGGAAAATAAAAACTGACCAGGAGATAATATGATGAAGATGGTTGCAGACACAGCAAAGTAGAAACTGATCTTTGTCATGTATACTGTTTGTTGTTTATTTTTTGGTTATCTTGGTTGTCAATTTGGTTAACTTATTTATAGCCGAAGGTAATAAGTTGTCTTCTTGTCTAGTATTTATCACATATGGATTATATTCTCTACTTTAGATATGAGTTGGGACAAATGGCAATAATAAGGAGATGAATTCAACTTTAAGATTTTTGGGTATGTGTTATTCATCTATTGTTAGTAGTTGAAATATTTTATACTAGTGAATTTGAGGAGATTTGTTGGGTGGAATTCCAGAATAATTTAATTAAAATTATAGCAATTTCTCCTAAAATTATATAAAAATTTACAAAAATTCAAATCCTTCGAAATCTTTTCAGATTGAATAACTCTTTGGCAAATCAGATAATCAAGACCTAGTTACACTTAAATTCAGGTAGTGTTTTCAGTTCTTCGACGAGTCTACAGATTCTATCATAAGGTCAAACAGCTCCAAATTCCAATCACCCATCGAGTCAACGTATATTTCCTCCATTCAACACTTCTACAGATCATTAACATTGCACCCACGGCCAATATTGTTGATGAAACATATTGTTTCTTTTGTCCTCAGTCCTATCCTTCAACAGATTCCCAAATTCTGTCATTATTTTATGTAACGAAAAAATAAATTTATTGTACATGTTTAAAACGTATCATAGTTACACTTCCAAATCTTTATCATGTATTAGTGAGAATGCCTTCAAATCAGAATTAACTAACTGGTCGAACATATCATCCTTTTGAAACAAAAAAGGAAAATTATATCATATTAAGTCTTTCATCATTTGATTTAAGTATTGAAATTGCTGGGTTTAATCCTAATCCATTGGAAAATTATATCATATCAAGTCTTTCATCTTTTGATTTAAGTATTGAAATTAATCCATTGGTATTGCATGTCAAATCTCATACAGACGCCGGCTTGAATATCAATTCGTTGGTTATGTATTACATTACATACACTGTTAATGGTATGTCAAATAGTCTTTCAGTTCGTCTAACTAAGCTTAGTTTGTTAAGTTCTTCAGCGACACAAATTTACTTGGTTCTAGGAAGGCCTCAGAGATCTTGGTGGTTAAATATCATCAAGTGAAGAATTTCTTCATCAAGAGTAGCAAATATTTTGATTGCATCACCGGCCAAACCCAAAACCTTAAATCGATAAAAAAAAAAAAAAAAAAACATTTATAAAAAAAAAAAAAAAAGAGAATTTGATGATGATAATGAGTCAAAAGTAGCTGGTAAATAATCACATCTTTCCGGAGGGAAATCAATGGGAATCCGAATGATTTTTTTCATCACCCTCACCATCATCATCAAATAAAACAAATTTTGAGAAAACTTCAATAAAAAACAGAAGATCTAAACAACCAAAATTCGATTAAGAGACTGATAGATGTATCTGCATAGTCACCGAAGTTCCTTCGGTATAGAAGGAGAAAACTCAGATCATAAGAGGCAGAGCAAGCTCACAGAAATATGTAAGCTAACCGGAAAACAAAATTCCATCATCTCTTTAGCCTAACGATAGATTCCTTGATCCATTACACGAATGTTTGGATCAAGTAATTGCAAATTAGGCTTCTCTTTCGAAAACCGACATAAACGACACATTGAAAATTGATAAATATGAATGGACTAGAAAGCTGCGCTAGTCGCTAGAGTAAGATAGGTTGATTTAATTGATCAAAGCAAAGAAGATGACTATATATACAATGATGAAAGAAGTGGACTTCGTTAACCCTAATTCTTAAACATAACGTAAAGCCGTAAATAAGCCCATATGTAAAAAGCCCATTATGATAAGTAAACCGACTATAAGCCCATAAATAAGTAGATTGCTTATAACTGTTAAAAAAATAATTAAAGTAACGAATGGCCCATGCAGGTTTCGAACCTGCGACCTTCGCGTTATTAGCACGACGCTCTAACCAACTGAGCTAATGGGCCAATTTGATAAATAGAATAAATATACTTTATAGAAACTATAAACTACGGCATAATTATGCCAATCGACATGCAAAACTGTGTCGTTTCATCGAATCTGTTAAATTTCTTCTCTGTCGGACACTAAACTTCAATATTTTTCCCGTGGCCAAATCTGTCCTCCGTTCTTCTCCGGTTCCGATCTCAAAGAAGATGAGAGTAGTAGTAGTTTCTTCCTCTGTCTCCCTCTCTTTGCAACTATCCTTTCTTTTTCTCCTTGCTTTTACTATTAGATCGAGCTCATCTCCGGTGAACGATCCGTTTCTCGGCATTTCTCCTCAAGGTTTGGTTTCTCTTTCTCCTTTCTGCTCTTGAAGATCTGATTCGTTTTTGCTCGAGATCTTCATCAATAATACTCCGATTTGATCTTACGTTTTCACCTCTTTTCGTTAATTTTTTTATAAATTGAGTTCGGTTCCGTGGATGTGTAGATGAGAAGTATTACAAATCATCGTCGGAGATAAAGTGTAAGGATGGATCAAAGAAGTTTACGAGAGCTCAACTTAATGACGATTTCTGCGATTGTCCAGACGGAACTGACGAACCAGGTTCCAATTCTCTTCTTGCAATAGTCACACTACTTGGTTTTCTCCATAGATATATGTTTCGTAATTTTCGATTGGAAAGTTCTTCTCTTTTCAACTAAATTATACTGCTCTTGCTTCGGTTACGAAATTACGATTGTGATCAGACGATTAAGCATTCAGTTCCGCTGAAAGTTTTACTTTTTTTTTTTCAGTGGAAGTTAGTTTTGATTTGTGGATTGAATATCTGATAGATCATCTTCTGACATTGCTCTGTATGTTAAACTCCAGGGACGTCAGCTTGCCCAAATGGAAAATTCTATTGTCGGAACGCAGGCCATTCTCCAATGGTTCTGTTTTCATCCAGAGTCAATGATGGGATCTGTGGTATGTTACTCAATTTAAACAATTCGTTACATTTTCTTCTTTTTAAGCTATGTGCTTTCAAATGCTATACTGAGGAAGAATTCTTTAAAGGATTAGCCTTTCTGTACTAATTGTTTTTTGTTTTTTGTTTTTTTTTTCCGTGAGAGAAGATTGTTGTGATGGAAGTGATGAGTATGATGGTAAAGCGACCTGCTCAAATACATGCTGGGAGGCTGGAAAAGCAGCTAGAGAAAAGCTGAAGAAGAAAATCGAAACGTATACGCAAGGGCTTGTGATAAGGAGGAAGGAAATCGAACAGGCGAAAGTGGGTCTGGAGAAAGATGAAGCAGAACTGAAGAAGCTGAAAAGCGACGAGAAGATTTTGAAAGGCCTTGTTCAACAGCTGAAAGGTTTGCTATTCTTTCTTCTCATGTATAATATAATCTTTCTGTTGGCTGATTTTTGCATATTAGTGTATTGGATTGTGAAAGTTTAGATCCCTGATATGTCTCTGGATTAGTTCTTAGTAGTTGATGTAGTGGAATCTGATAGGATCGTCAAGTTCTTTCTCTTTCATTATAAGTGGCAATGATGACTGGAGATGATGAAGAGAGAATTGTGCCTTTAACGTTGTTGGTCTTATCAATACATAGCTTGACATGTTCTACATTTCCCTCGGATTACTTATTCTGTAGAGCGTAAAGAAGAAATTGAGAAGGTAGAGGAGAAGGAGCGTCTACAGAAAGAAAAGGAGGAGAAAGAGAGAAAAGATGCTGAAATAGCAGCTCAGCCAGGAAAGGGAGATGCTGAGGAGAAGAAAGATGATGGTGAAAAAGTTGAAGGAAGCACACATGATGAAGGGATTCCTGAAGTTCCAGAGCATGATGAGAACGTGCATGATGATGATATTGGTACTTACAAGGATTTTCCTACAGATGAGGTTAGTTCTTCTCTTGTTCACTGAAATAGATTTTCACTCTTTCATCTTCGCATTTTTTTTTTTTTTATTGTGCTTCTTTCGGAAAGAAAAGCGAATCAAAGCATTCGTCAATATTCTGGTCCCCTTTGGATTTCTTGCTCATTCAGGAGGTCATGAAATAAGATATGAAAGTCTCAGTACGTGAGATGCTTGAAAATGATCTTTTACTCATTGACATCAATGCCTAGGCTATCTTGGACTCATTCACATGGCTATGATGTCATTACCTTCAGCTCTTCTAATATTTGTTAATGTCTCTTGTTTTCCTTTACGGTCACAATTGTTGTGTCTTTCAAGTGAGTACTGAATCAGACTTTGATTTCAGGAGCCAGCAGCTGAAGCTGAACCAACAAGTACATTGGAAGAGGCTGCTCACACTAATCCAGCAAACGAGGTATGAAAAAATCTTTTATTCATAATCTTTCCAAAAGTGCTAAAAATTATTACTTGGAGGTTTAGATGATGATATAAGGTTGTCTACAATGCAGCATGTTGTAGAGACGAAGAAGGAATCTCCTTCATCTGAGGATTCCTCAACAGATGGATCTCAAAATGATGGTAGTACCAAAGAGGAGCAATCAAACGAGGTAATTTACTTTCAATTTCTGGCATAAACCTGATTATAGTTCTCTGAACTTCCACGATGAGAATAACTCTGTCCTTTATGTCTCTTTTGAGTTATATAATTCCTGACTTGATCATGACTTTCAAGTACTTTACACTCTATCAATAGGAGGGTCTTGAAACCGAGAAGAAGGAAGAGTTGTCAAAGGAGGAGTTGGGGCGTCTTGTCGCCTCTCGTTGGACAGGAGAGAAATCTGATAAGCCAACTGAGGCAGATGATGATAGCCCCAAAGCTGATGATATGGAACACCATGATCCCACGCCCATCCCTCCACATGAAGCAGATGAAGATGATGGGTTTGTATCAGATGGCGACGAGGATACAACCGACGATGGAAAGTACAGTGACCGTGATCCCGAAGATGATACCTACGAAGAGGAGTATCGCCATGATTCTAGTGATTCTAGTCCTTCCTACAAATCCGATGTAGAAGATGATCTCGATTTATCAGGTTTGCACTATTACCTACAGAAATGTTTGTCTTCGGCTAATAATCTATCACAGTAAGTATGACATGATTATATATTCATAACGTATAGAGACCACCTCAAATCCTACTTGGTTGGAGAAGATACAAAAGACTGTCAAGAACATTTTACAGGCTGTGCATATAATCCAAACCACTCCAGTGGACAAATCAGGTAAACTCATATAGCACTTCCGTTAAACAGGAAAAGCAAGGACTCGTACTCTTCAGTGATTCATCTGTTGCGTTGTGGTATATGCAGAGGCTGATCGGGTACGCAAGGAATACGAAGAGTCGAACTCAAAACTGAACAAAATACAGTCAAGGGTATCGAGCTTAGAGAAGAAGCTAAAACAAGACTTTGGTCTGTATGATAAGACGTCCTTTGCCTTTACTTAATGTTTGCCTTTCTTTGAGTTAGTCCTTAATAAAAAAAATATTGTTACAGGACCGGAGAAAGAGTTCTATTCATTCCACGGTCATTGTTTTGAGAGCAAACAGGGCAAGTAAGTAAAATCTAGCAAGACATTGTCCTCTTACTTTTCTTTCTTAACATTATCAGGGGTCACAAGTATGTTAATCTTATGCGTTATTATCTTAATAATGTCTAGGTATACTTACAAAGTTTGTGCGTATAAAGAAGCAACACAAGAGGAGGGCTATTCCAAAACTCGATTAGGGTAAGCGTCAGTGCCACCTTTAATAAAGCATATATTAAATCAGATATCAGTGTCAGTGTCATTTTTTCCGCACCTCCTTCATGCAACATATGTTAATGTTAATATAACGAGGAACTGGTTCGAAGTTGACAATCAGATATCAGTAATTATCTTATCTCTGTATCTATATTTATCCTTTTTAAGCTCTCTGGTCTTGTTTTATTTGATTTGCTAGGGAATGGGAAAAGTTTGAGAATTCGCACCAATTTATGACATATACAAACGGAGATAAATGCTGGAACGGTCCTGATAGAAGCTTAAAGGTAAATGTTCGAAAAACCACTATCTTGTTTTGGGCTTGCAAAGATCACAGAGACATCAAATATCAAAAGCTTGACTGATTCTTAACATGTAGATTAAGCTAAGATGTGGATTGAAAAATGAGCTTATGGATGTCGATGAACCAAGCCGTTGCGAGTAAGTTCTTGTCTTGGCCTTTACCTTTCCCAGGTTATCGCCTTCTATCTCCGGTTTTTTTTCATTTCTTGTCTCCTTATTTCTTACTCTCTTGTTACAGATATGCAGCAGTTTTATCTACTCCAGCTCGCTGTTTGGAAGATAAACTTAAAGTAAGTTTCTATGTTCAAATCTCAAATCTCAAAAGATATCTACACTCGCTAACACTCACTAAACTTGGTGTTTTCGTCTTTTATAGGAACTACAAGAAAAGCTCGAGAAGCTGATGAACCAAGACCAACCTCAGAAGCACGACGAACTCTGATCATGATCACCTGAAATAATTATTACAGGATGCGCACCATAGATATGTGTCAGTTAGACTTCTAATCTTGCTCAATCTCGAACGTCAAGAGGACACACAAAAAAACTATAAACAGAGACGTTTTTTTTTTTGGTCGGAAGAGAATGATAGGTCAAGTTTGTGTCTCATTTGGGTTCAATGGAGGTTCTATTTATCATAGACAATGTTAAACTTTTGGTTAAGCGCAAAGAACACTTCCTATATAAACATGAGTGAACCTTTCTAGCTTTTTGGGTTACTAAAATGATTCTTGATTAAATATGGAAGTCGTTCATATGAAGGTATCTTATCAAACATTTCAAAGTTCACTTTAATGTCACCAAGCAGTTTTAAATGTTTTTAAACAAGTGGTGGGTAGGTTTGGTTCGGTTTTGTCTTACTATCATAATATTTTGAACTTTCTGGCCACAAAGTATGTTTTTATTAAATTATAACTCTACTAAACAAAAATGCTTTCCCAGAAATAAATCATATATACACATGTTAAAGAAAAAGGTCAATGTAACTAAATTTTGACAATTATATTTGGAGTGACTTATATTTTGGGTGACTTTTTGACTTCTCTTTACAAAAAGAGAGACTTTTATTCAGAGGTGGACTTTTGGCCTGTAAAGATTACGAAATGCCCCTTAATGAATCATGGCGTGAAATTAACTGAGGTTTTCACTGTATCGGATTTATGTCTCCTTTGACAATCAGAACGTAATTTAACCGGAACCTCCGATCTCTGAGACGTACAGATCTCCAATCAGTTTCCTAAATCCTGGGATTAAGCATACGAAATTCTCCGTTTTATATGTATTCTATGGAGGACTCGTCTTCTATGTCTTCGGAAGTTGTTACTTTTAGAAAGTTAGATCTGTGGACGGTTTACACGAACTAAGGAAGGGATAATACTATTTTGTACAGTTTTTATTGTACGAAAGAGTTGGATATGCCGGAAGATAGAAGAAGATGAAGTAGTTTTTGGCGATTATTGTGGTAATGGTGGCGGCCGAAACAGAGGTTCGGAAGGAGGATTATTTGAGGAGATGGAGAGGAGAGAAAGAGTGTTTGGAGGTTAAGATAGTGGGAAAGAGTAAGAAGAAGAGAAGCAAAAAAAAGAGAAGTAGATTGGATTTGTACACTTACATCGTTGGACAATTTACTACTGAATTCCACCATCCACAGTTGATAACGCAGACAGTTCGCCGGTGTACGATTTAATGGCCTACACAATTATGGATGGTTTCTCTTTGTATTGAACTCTCTCTCTCGGATTTGACAGTGGATGATTAAACTCGAAAGTGGATTATTATTTCACTTTAGTTGGACATCATATGTGTGTCTGTTTGGAGGTTGAGAGAGAGTGGGAGAGAAAAAGAAGATGAGCCAAAAACAGAGAAGTAGAAACAATATTGGAGAACAGCCAAGTAAAGGAAGAAGATGGAAAAAGCTTGGTGGATAAAAAAACAGTGGCTCAAAAAAAACTGGTTTTGAATGTGAAGAAGAGAAAGTCGAGTTGTTCCAATTTGGAAAAGTGAGAAGACAAATTAACCAAACACCAAAACATGATTAAGAAACTAAATATCAGCAGAACACAATTTATCCATGTGTGTTATAAGTAAGAAATATTACAATTTAAAAAAGTGAGGAGACAATCTAACCATACACCAAGACATGATTAAGAAACTAAATATCAGCACATCGACAACCCTAAGAACAACTATAATACTTGGGTAGCTCATATGGAGCATCTCTTTGTCTCAGTTGGAGACAACCTTTGTCTCTACTGGTGAAGATCGATCTCACTTGTGTCTTGACCCATCATGAACAATCACAAAAAAATTATGCCTACAAAAAGAGCATATCTGCATTGAGAAACCAAATTTATACTCAGAACACAGAAACCAAATTTACATAGTCAAACACATCTTGAATTATACATAACAATTTCAGGGAACAATTCTTATGTACACCTAAACGCATATCAAACTATCATAAAAAATGCAGCGAACTAAAGTCATACGATGAAACCAAACAAATGAAAGCTAGAAACGAATCCAAAAACTCATCAAGAAGAAATGATCAAACTGTTCCATATCACCAACATTCAAGAGCAGGGATCATGACCAGAAATCTAAAAGCATCCAAGACTAAAGCATCCAAGCAGATATAGAAAGCATCCAAGTGTGTTAGGTGATAGGTCTACATGAGTAAAGAAGTGAAAATTAAACAGAGCTCCTTGCTAAAACAGAGGATAAAAATAAGATAAAACAGAGCTCCTTTGTGTACCAATATAAAACAATCATACAAACAAAATATGATAAGATCAAGGTACGAATAGTGACAACCACTCTAAACAAAAGTTTAAAAGTAATAGTTTCAACATATTCTCCAAATATAAAACTTGAGTACATCTCAAGACATAATAATTTTTCTAAAAGATGCTTTAATGTATCGTGTGAATTCTAGCTTGTTTGGTATTCCATAGTAAAATCTTAAGCCAACAGAATCCCATTGAATGTCTCATCATACCTTCAAAAGCAAGATGGATACACAAATAACAAAACTATAAGGAAAACTAACACTAGCATTATGTAATCACCATCAAGAAATCTCAATTTGATAAAGTCAAAGCATTAATTAAGAATGAAACAAATCTTCTAAAAAAAAACTATTATACAAACTAACCACGTGAAACAAACTATCCACATCAAAATATCAAAAATGTTGACACTAGTTTAACAAACCATCCAAATCCAAAACTGTCCACAGTAGTGAGATCGACCATCCATTTCGAAACTGTCCACACTAGTGAAACAAACAATCCATTAGAACTATCCACAACAAAACTAAATGATAAGATCAAACTATCCACAATGATAACATAATCAGTGTAATTATCTCCAACTGATTATGTATGCAAGCGTATCTTGAGTCCACATCAAACTATTCATAAGCGAATACAAATGCAGTGGACATAAATTTGATAGTAGTGTGGATTGATCCTTGTAGACTGAATGATAACAATGGCTACCGAGATATGGCTCAAAATCATTTCGTAGTTATTACCTTTCAATTCGAAGACAAAAATAGACAAAATTTAGGATACCGTATCTATGTGGAGAAGGAATCTCAAATAATTTTGGGAATAAAAGAAACAGAGCAGAAATTCGTATCTTTCATGTCATTTGCGTAAGAAGCCGTTGTAGCTGGGTTTCATAGAGAGTCGCCACTGTCAGAAGAACGAGGATTAGGAAACCTAGCCATGGTTAAGGGATTAGATTTTGTTAGGAAAAAGGAGGCGAATTCTAAATCGACGAGCTCTGAAAATCTGAAATTAGGATTTTTCTATGATAGACAACGAGATACCTTCCATACTTCCCACGATTAGAGTGAAATCCAATTGAGACCCAACAAAAAACATCTTCCAACGGACCTAAATAGCCATATGAAAGTAATTTCAATCCGAGATTTCCAATTAAATACATTTCATAACGCGATTCAGAGAAAATTTATGATTGAATAGATTGCCAATTCGGGAGATATGAACTCCAAAATTTGGAAGGTGATTATGGAGAGGCAAAATAGTTGGGGATGATAATGAGAGAAACATAAATCGTAACAGGTGAAACAAAATGAAGAAGAAGAAAGTCGATGAACCCGAGAGACATACCTCTAGAAATGGCCGAGATCGGAGGAAGTGTATCATCGACGGCGGAATAGATTTTGGGTAAATCGGCGTGTTCTGTTTGACGGAGTAGAAGAAGGTAGAAAGAAGAGAGGTAAATGTAAAAAACAAATGACGGAAATGTGAAAGAGAGAAAATGAGGGCAGCTGAGTAAACTCACTTTGTGAAAGTCCACCACTTTTACAAAGTCCCAGAGTAAGTCTAAAAGTCCACCTGAGTGTAATTTTCTCAATTATATTTGACTAGTATCTATCATTTTCAGATATTTACGTAGCCCGGCAATGGATCGAGAAGGCAACGAAAAGGTAAACGAAACGAATATTCTCTAACAATTTGCGTCACTCCTTTTATGGAAACTAAACCGGTGGTTAGCAGTATAAACGTATTGGTTTTTCTTGACCCAGTCCTAATTCGGCAATAAATTGGTCAAATGTTGACCGAAACTAAACCAACGACCTTCAATTTCATTTTTTTTCACCTCAAAAGTCAAAAAAGAAAAGAAGAGACTCACACTTTCGCTCATAACCCCCAAATCCCAGATTCTCTCTTTCTCTCTCTCTAATTTCCTTGTTCTCCAAGCCAGATCTCTCGCCATAAATCTCTCTCCATCTCTGTCTTCTCTAGCACCGCGATCCTCGCTTGCTTTTGTGTTTTCTCTTCTCTGAAACCGCGTTTTCCGTTTTAACTTGCGATGGCGGCGATGATAGAGCAAAGGCCGAAGACGAAGATCGTGTGCACTCTCGGTCCGGCTTCCAGATCCGTTCCGATGGTGGAGAAGCTTCTCAGGGCTGGTATGAACGTCGCTAGGTTTAACTTTTCCCATGGATCTCATGAGTACCACCAGGAGACTCTCGATAATCTCCATCAAGCTATGCTCAACACTGGGATTCTCTGCGCCGTCATGCTCGACACCAAGGTGAGCGAATCACTCACTTAGATATCTACATCAGTGGTTTGTGTTGTGTATACTGTGCGTTTTCGTCTCTCGATTTTGCGTCTGTTTCTGTTTATGATTCCATTTTCATCTTTATTTGACCTTGATTTGACTGTGATCTGAATTTTCTAGGGTTTGTTAGATTTGTGCTGTTTTCCTGGGTTTCGAATTGCTTTGCTCCACTTTTCGATCTACCAACACTGACGCGTGTATTTAATTTTTATTTTATTTTGCTTTTGTTGAATGATTTTTTGCCTCTTTTGTACTCATCTATGTTTGGTAAGTGTTTACTGCTTTGGCTGTTTATGCCAATTCCTGTGGTAGTCGTCTCTTTTCTGTTTCAACTCTGCTAATGAAGACTGAAGAGCTCTTACCAAACTTATTCCCATGTGATTTTTACTTTCTGGGGAATTAGAATTATGAAATCTAGATCTGAGAAACTCTGATTTTTTGTGGTATCATAAATGTTTCCAGTTAGCAGTTGATATGGACCAGTCGGTAGAGAAGAGTTAAAACTTGTTGTAGAGACCAAATGTAGAAAACTATGTTAGCACTTGGATAGCTAAAACTAGTGAACAATAATCCGCTAATACAAAATTTGATAAAAGATTAACAAACCTGCAATTGTGGAGAGTGGTTCCTGAATTGTCCTCTCTGATCTGTGATTATGGTATCTATGTGGCCATTGAAGTTAATTAGTGTGTGTAAGTATAGAAATTATAGCCAAAGTTCAAACTCAGGAACAAGTGTGTCAAAAAAATTCCGCTTAGCATGTTTCTTGTATATGATCAATGCTACACCTGCTTCATGTATGTCAATTCAAGAAGCAGGAAACTTATATTTGTTGAGTCAGAAGACGAAAGTGTTGATAAACAATCTTCTTGAATTGTTTTCTTGTCTATGATTATGGTTTCTTGTGCAGAGAATGTTGTTAGTTTGTGAAGTATAAGTTATAGCCGGATCTCAATTTATACTCTTAACTTGATTGGTGTTTCAATTGAATATGTATGTAATTGTACTTATGGCAGATCTATTTGGTTTTGTGAATATATACTAAAGTAAAGTTTTGTTTTCTCTCTTGAAGGGTCCAGAAATCCGAACCGGGTTCTTGAAAGATGGGAAACCAATCCAGCTGAAACAAGGCCAAGAGATCACCATTTCGACAGACTATGACTTGAAGGGTGATGAGAACACGATTTGCATGAGCTACAAGAAGCTGGCTTTAGATGTGACCCCAGGAATGGTCATACTCTGTGCTGATGGTACCATCTCTCTGCTGGTCCTCTCTTGTGACACAGAGAATGGTACAGTCCGTTGCCGCTGCGAGAACTCTGCGATGCTCGGTGAGAGAAAGAACGTCAATCTCCCAGGTGTCGTTGTGGATCTCCCAACTCTAACCGAGAAAGACAAAGAAGACATCATGCAATGGGGAGTCCCAAATCAAATCGATATGATCGCTCTCTCTTTTGTCAGAAAAGGGTCAGACTTGGTTCAGGTCCGGAAATTACTCGGAAAGCATGCCAAAAACATTCTTCTCATGTCAAAGGTATGTTCAAATCAAAGCTCTCTCTCCTTCCGGTTATGGAAACTGCTAAGATCAATTGTGATGATTTTGTGTTTTTCTTCTTTTTAATGGATTATAGGTTGAGAACCAAGAAGGTGTGGCGAATTTTGATGACATATTGGTCAATTCGGATGCGTTTATGATTGCGAGAGGAGATCTCGGCATGGAAATCCCGATTGAGAAGATCTTCTTAGCTCAGAAAGTGATGATCTACAAATGCAACATCCAGGGGAAGCCTGTGGTTACAGCGACTCAGATGCTCGAGTCCATGATCAAATCTCCTCGTCCCACAAGAGCCGAAGCCACTGATGTAGCAAACGCGGTCCTTGACGGCACGGACTGTGTCATGCTCAGTGGTGAAACCGCAGCTGGAGCTTACCCTGAGCTAGCTGTCCGTACAATGGCTAAGATATGCGTTGAAGCCGAGAGCACGCTTGACTACGGAGACGTCTTCAAGAGGATCATGCAGTACTCTCCTGTTCCAATGAGCCCGCTCGAGTCGCTCGCGTCCTCTGCAGTCAGAACAGCTAACTCAGCTAGAGCCACTCTCATCATGGTCCTAACCAGGGGAGGAAGCACTGCGAGACTTGTGGCTAAGTACAGACCAGGGATGCCTATTTTGTCTGTCGTTGTTCCCGAGATCAAAACCGACTTCTTCGACTGGTCTTGCAGCGACGAGTCACCGGCGAGGCACAGCCTTATCTTCCGCGGTCTGATCCCTGTGCTCTACGCAGGTTCCGCAAGAGCCTCGCACGATGAGTCAACAGAAGAAGCTATCGAGTTTGCGACTCAGTACGGGAAAGAGAAAGAGCTGTGCAAGACTGGAGACTCCGTTGTGGCTCTACTCCGAGTTGGTAATGCTTCCGTTATCAAGATCTTGACCGTCAAGTGATTGATGATTCCGATCATGAAATACCGTTTTTGGCGTTTGGCGTTTTGGAGAAACGCAACTATAAGCGTTTTATTATGAACTTTTATTCAAGATTGTGATTAAAATCTTGAGATAGAAAACTCAAGTTCTCTTTTTCGCTAATTACTACTGTGGTGACCAGTGGAATCCACTTACGGTTATATTGGTTGTATGGAAACTAATGGATCATACACGTATCTATATTATCATGATTTCTCTTCTGTTTTTACGTATTTTTTTATATACCACGAAGAATAATGGTGGAAATATATTTTTATATTTTCCATGCTCTGGTTCGTTAAAAGACAGAACATGAAGACAAAAAAATAGGGACAGCGCATGGATCTTCTTCGCCCATACAAAAATCATTCCGACAAAGATTTAATCATTCTACCTATTTTTGTAAAATTTCCATCATCATTGAGCTTCAACTGAAAATAAGTTTGATATTTACAGAAAGGATTTGATCATACGTCTTAAAACACATCACAAGATTGAATCATCATACCCCATACAGAAAAATTTCCGACAAAAATGTAATCATTCTCTCTATTTTGTGACATTTTTCATCATTATTTGTGGGCTTCAACTGAAATAAATTTCAGATCTAAAAGAAAAACAAAGAACCACACAAACAACAATGGAAGAAGATAGTAACAAAAGAAAACAGAGAACACCTCCATGGATTTTTTTTAACAATCTGAATCTGAGCGAAAGAACATCATTTTTATGTACATAAAAGCAGAGAATGAAATACATACAACAAAACAAATTAAAAGAGCTAGAAATTGAGACAACAACAAAAGATGAAGGAGAAGAAGAAGAAGAAGAAAACAAAGGATTTTTAGTTTTTGAATGTTTTGTTCTCCCATTATTTATCAGCGAGAAGAACCAGAAGATCTTGAATAGGTATTGTTCTCACCAGATTGAGAACCAGATGCTGAAGAAGAAGACGAAGAAGAAGAAGAAGAGAACAATCCACTGAACGGCCATGGAAACGAAAATCTTCTTCCATTCCCACTCCTCCCATCATCCTCTCTTCCTCTCTCCCCATTTCCAACACTCTCAACAACGTTCCCGCCACTACTCTCCTGAACACTCCTCACTCTCCTCGCTCTCTCGGACTCAACCTTACTCTCATCATCATCATCGTTCGCAGAAGGAAGCTCGAACCGACACACAGGACAAGAGCTATGAATCTCAAGCCAGGGGACAATACACTTGACATGAAACTTATGCTTACAAGGCAGCTCTTTAGCTTCAACTCCTCTCTCGAAATCATCCAAACAAACCGAACACTGCAGCAACGGTTCGTTTATCTTAACCGTAGGCAAAGCTTCAACGGCTTCTCTACGAGCTGGTGGAGTCCCTTGCCTGTTGGGATCATTCTCAGCCAAATGCTGAAGCAAAAGATCCAAACCAGGTCCGATGAAGTAATCACCAAGCGAAGTCAATGCAGAATGGTTCTGAGTCTCTCCCTGGACAACGAGAGACTGATTAAACGGATTAATCATGATAACTCTATTGCTGCTGCTGCTGTTGTTATTACTGTTACTATCTCTCTCCCAGTTGTTATCAGAGCTTTCATACTCTGACGCAATCCCTGCACGAATCCCTTGAAGCAGCTGCAATATGTTTCCAGAGCTTCTTCGTCTTCTCCTCAAGATAGATTCAAACTCTCTATCTAAATCAATCTCTCCTCCATGCCGTCTAGCTCGGTGATGATGACGGTACACGTTACTGCTGTTGTTGTTATCATTTCCCTCAACATTGTTGTTGTTGTTGTTGTTGTCATCGTCATCGTCGTCGTTGTCTTCACCTAACTCTGCTCTTCGAAACCTTCTTCGTCTCCGAGGACTGCTCATCATTCCGAGCAAGATTGGAGCCCACAGAGACATTGCACGGTCTGTTCCGAAATCGGTTTCTGGGTCTTGAACGTCTCTTGTGCCTCCATTGTTACCGCTCATTTCTTCGACGAACCCGCTTTGGCAAAAGGGACATTTGATCTCAGACTCCATTATTGGGTTCACTGTTTGGGAACACATGTGACACCAATACCTAACGGCCATTGTTTCCTCCATGGTCTCTTCCTTCAAACCCCCAAAATCTCTTGAATCTGCAAGCGAGAAAGAATACAGAATCTGTTATGTTCTGTTTTGTTCTAACAGATCTAAAATCCCTAAAAGTTTGTAACTTTACAGTAGTTTCGATCTCAATTGAGAAATTTTTTGTCATCAATGTCCCAAAGTTAGTAAATTTGACCAATCATTTACAAGAATCAGACAAGAACACCTTTGAAAAAGCAGAGGAAAAGCCAAAGCTTCTTACACAATTAATATGGATAAACTCCAAAACCCACAAAAAGAAAATCTGAACCCAGAATCTTATAAAAGATCAAAGAGAGGGAAAAAGGAAACAAATTTCTTGTTTTTCTTTTGTCATAAATCTTCCCAAATAAAAAAGGTAAAAAATCTATGAAAGAAAAACCCAGAAATTTCCATACACAGAGAGAAATCACAACATAAAACCATTACCTTTAAAAATGTCCCTTCTTTTTTCCCTGAAGAGTCAAGAAACTTCAAATCTGTTGTTCCTTCTTTTGATTCCTCCAGAGAAATTAAACCCAAAAAAGCTCAGATTTTTTGTCTGTTTGTTTGTTGCTGTTGGGAAGGGTTTGAGAAATGGAGGAGAAGAGAAACAAAACAAAACAAAAAAAAGGAAGAGGAAATGAAGAAGAAAGAGTGGAAGGAAACAAAACAACCCAACCACGTCCTCTTCTAAACCAACGCGCTCCTTGTTTATGTCTTTTTCTTAATTAGCATTTATTATCTCTGATGACATTATTAATCAAGTTTAAGACTTTTTGTTTAATTATAGTCTTTCCTTACAAAATTGGGGGTTTATTACTAATTTATCAGTAGCTGATTCAACGCCTGTGGTCTCTGTTTAATTGCGTTTCCATGTTATTTGTTTGGATATATTATAGTGACCACTTGTATGTATATATTCTAGTTGCAAGGAACATAGGTATCTAGTCTACTATGTAAAATGTATGTAAATATTCGTTTGATGTAGACCTCTCAGGTTATTGAAATTTATAGTTCTGAACTTTATAACACGTCAACTTCATTTAATTGTATTAACTCTCGTTTACCTTTATTCTACGGAATTCAGATAGCTTCTTTTTGACGGAACTGAACCGAGTATATCCATTACATCCTTGATTAATGTGTTTATACAAACTAATTTCGTGTTAACATGCTAATCAAATATTCAATAATTCAAATAGGTAATGCCTAAATCTAGGATCAATAAAACAGATATGTAAACTGTACATGAAAGCTTTTAGCAAGATAAATAATTCCCCCCCCATATATAATGTAACAGTCCAATTTAGTGAGATTAATTTCACCTCTAATAAGTTGAACTAACCACATAGAAGCATGAGAAAAGAAGAAAAGAAGAAAAGTCGAAAGATAATGAGAGATGATATGATCACTTATCTTTTGAGCCTGACGTGCAGGACCCGTTGGTACTTCTTTACGGGGCCGTTGCGTTTTAATATGGGCTTTATGGGCCGACATAAACCGGCCTGCTATAGAGCCGAGGGACGTTGGGTCATTGCTTTGCGACATGCGAAGAACACTCATGTCTTACTACCAAAGAATATGAGAGAACTGATATTTATCTGATCCTTGGTTAAACTTAACACGTTCAACTTTATGTGATAAAAATATCAAACCATTGTTTTAGTGTATGTCATATACATAAGTACATGATGTATAGTATAAAGGATTAAAGATTAATAAAAACTTATTATAGCTTCATTTTTGGTTTGTACAAGTGCACCACGCGCTTATTGAGTGGTTGAAGCGGCCTCGCATTTGTATCTGCAGACTGTTAAATAAAATTTAAAACATTAGGGTAAATTAATGAAAAATAAAAACAGCATCCATAGTCTTATCTTGAATATTTTAGCTATACACCATAAGTAATCTTAATTACGCTCTAAAGTCTTAAATCCCTTAAAGTCTTAATCAGTTCAGTCTATTCTGATTTGCATGTAACTATTAGTAGTTCAAGTTCTGTTAATAATTTTATATATGCTGCATAATAAGCGAGGAAAAAGAAAATCCCCTTACGTCGTGTACAGCCACTCGGAGAAGCTTCACTTGTGCACTTGTCACGGTCCTAATCTGAAAGTTAACATTGCTATTAATCAGGTAACTAAGAGATGATAAGAAATTGGAATAATAATAGATAAACAGTCAGTAACGCGATCTTATATTAAGCATGGATAGTTTATGAATTATGGTATGCAACTTTATAATATAAAAGTTTGTACATTCTGAAAACGTAATTCCTCCAAAACTTAACATTGCTACTAGTCTGCGATTATTCTGTTCAGCTGAAAATAATACTAATCAAACTCATTTTTTTTACTATCAAAGTCATCATCTAATTTTTGGATCTAAACAGAAAACCAAGTCGAAAAGAGTTTTAATATCCAAATAAACAAACGCATGAGAGTCGATATAAAAACATCAAAATTATAATACTGCAGAATGAGAAAATGAAAGCAATAAAATGAAATAGTAATTTACCTGTTTGGAAATCGTCCAACTAACATTTTCAGAACAGGGAGGAGCTGTAAGTGATCCTGTATATCTATAATATTCTTTTGATTCAAAACTGAGATTTTTGGGATCAATTATTCCATATTCCTCGGACTCGTGTGTATCAGTTATCTTCTTCAAATGTTTTTTCAACTAATCAATAAATAAATGAAAAAACAGGATATACCGAAAGGAGAAAAGGGTCAGGTGCTCCCACTTTATATAAGAAAGCCACAACAGCGTAGCCTCCATCTTTGCTTTCATGAACCAAGTGTTCCTCAAGAGCAAAACTATTTTTTTGTCAACCAAGAGCAAACCTAGTTATATCTATTGTTCACATTTTCTGATAAAGCATATTAATTATATCTTTCTGATAAACCATCCATAGATGTCGAATGTAACTGTATGAGTAGAGTTACCTTTTGCCATTGATTCTGTGTTCAGAAGGGGAATGCCAATGAAGCTGTTGAAGTTTATATTTAGTACCACCAACAGTGATACCTATACCTCCATTTCCTCCTTTGAATTTCAACTGCCACATTCACACAAAAAGACATTATTATGATGCACCATTTAATTGGTATATTAATAAAGTTTGAATGGTGGTGAAAATTTCTTATGAGGTTTGATTTAGGCCATGGATCAAAAACCCCACCAACTATGAACCTCCATTGTTGGACCATTCTTTAGTCATTGTAAACGTTTTAAATGGCAATATAGTTCTATTTTCTTTTAACATGCCTCAAAATTTAGTTAGCACTTTGTTCCATAATCTACTCTGTTTTTTTTTTTTTTTTTTTTTTAATGAAATACATTGGAAATTAAGGTAGTAGTAGATTTACCATAATATCATGGCCTCTGTTCTTAATGGTGGTATTAGAAGGTAAATATTGGCTACGAAGAGATCCAAGTTTATGAGTCACTACGACAGTTTTGTCCGTAATATCAATAGGAGATTGCATTTTTCCTGTTCCACACATTTTCCACTCTGCCTTTAGTGTTCCCCATTTTGCTGGCCCCTTTTCTCCCTTCGGCTCGTAGCTAAACTCCGTTTCGTCCTCTATTCCAAACCCAATTGAAATGTTCTTTTTGTTAGATACGTATAATAAACATGTTTTCATATATAAACCCAAACTTTATGTTTCTAGAGGTTATTGACAAACATATAAAGATGGTAAAATACAAAAACAGTAATTTGTATAACTTACCAACTTCTCCACCTGGTGTTCGTGGACTTGGTGGTGATGGTGGACCTGGTGATGGTGGACTTGGTGATGGTGGACTTGGTGGTGATGGACTTGGTGATGGACCTGGTGGTGATGGACTTGGTGATGGTGGACTTGGTGGTGATGGACTTGGTGGTGATGGAGGTGGTGTTGGTGGACTTGGTGGTGGTACACTCGAAACAATCGTGATAAAGATGAAGCTAAAGAGAAAGACGGATTCAATTGATGATATCTTCATTTTCTTATGTTATGACTTGACGGACGAAAGATGAAAACAAGTGAAATATCTTACTTCAGTATTTGGAATCCTAACCTAACAACGTGTTTTAGATGAAGAAAATAGAGTTGTATACATTAACAAACACAATGCATATGATGTGGTTTTCTTTTTATATAAGTAAAACTTGTGGTCCGAAATCGCCTCTCATCGATCAGATCACTAGGAGACACCAAATATGAAGGAGTGCTTCAAGCCTGGTTTGGGTCACGGTGCTGATCCACAAGTTCTTAATCTTTTCTAATCACATTTCAAACCTTTCTACTTTACGATGCACATGATGTAACAAACGACGTTTTTGAGTTAGAATAAATTTTACATTCAATTCAAAAAAAAAAAAAACTTGTGGAAAAACTATATTTATACAAACTTACTTATTTGACCAACAAAAATAAAATACAAATGTACCTAAAAACTGAATATGTACATTCAATATGGAAATACATCACATGTTCAGTTTTTACGTAAATGTGTATAAATATAAAATATATATATACGCACATTAATATATCCGATTGTGTTGTTCATCAAACTGAATGAAGACTTATTGGAAATAAGGAAACCTAGTTGAAACAAAATTCGAAAAAACTCCCTATAGCAAAACCTCTATGAAAGGAAACCCGAAAATCCAATAAACAAATAAAACTCCCTCCGTTGCTTCTGCGTTAATTGCATAATAGCTCTAGAAATATAACCAAACCAAACGGTTTCAGATTCAATGAGCTCGAAACGTATAAAATATAAATATAACAAGTGTTATCTCTTGTCCAAGATTCAGATCCAAAAACCAAACCATACTCTTTACTCATAACTTCACTGTGCATTCAAGCTGACAGTCTGGTGAACGTCTGGATGAAGAGAACAACTCCTTGATCATCGTCTCATGTTCCTTGCCACTCTCAGCAGATTTAGAGGTGATACTAATAGTTGCCTTCTTTAAACACTTTGCGCTTCTGATCATAAACGATACTGCCTCTTTCTCTTCTTCTGCTCCTTCATATTTTGTCCACTCGAAAGTTTTAAGACTTGATAAAAGACATTCAGGAACTGAGCTCGGTTCGTTCCAGCTCGGGTTCCAGCTCGGTCGTGGCTCAGATGATCGGAGGTAATGGCACTGATATACAAGTATACAATGCACTAGATATTAATCAGACTGATCAAAATGTTTATTACCTTATGATCAAATTTAAGACAGTTGAAATATACCTGTCCTAGTACAAGAGCTTGTAAATTAGGGGAATCTTTGAGCACACGCATAAGTAGATTCAACCATTCCGTCTCGCATGTGCATATCTTTAAATGTACAAGATTGTGGAAGACACTACCAGCAGGATACACATCCTGAATACACCAAGAAGATGGCATTATCAGTGCATGAGAAAATGTAGAGTCAATCATTGAGTTGGCACAAAGATGGAAACAGCATCATATATTATACGTTTGAGGATGGTATGCACAGATAAAGGCGCTTGAATGAAGTAACGGATCCCAACTTCTTCCAGAAATTCCAAGTTGAAAAGACAATATTTGCATCCACAACCTTAGTCATATTAGTCTCAATGGCACAAAACCCACTCGTATGAAAAATGCCCAAGTGCTCCAAAGAAGGAGCATCTATCTTAAAACCTTGAGACTGGTTTTTGCTAAAGTTGTGGTCGAACCTATGCAAAACTAATCTCTTTAAGGAAGGCACTCTAACGCTCATAATGGTCAAACTGTCATCTTCACGTTGCTCCACAACCAAGTCTTCAAGAACAGGACAACTGGATAAAAGCTTGTTCACAAACTCCTCACCTCCGTGCTTCACGCATGTAAGACTCAGTTTCTTGAGAGATGGGAAAGAAACTGGAGAGGCAACATCCACGAGAACCGCGTTACTTAGTATCAAGGTCTTAAGCGTTCTGCACCATGTATACAAGCTCCCCGGAAGTGTGACTGGAGTTTTATAGCTAGGATCAGGCTTATCAATCTCAATGATCAGCTCATGCACACAGTGTTTCTCCGCAGCTCTAATCCACGTTTCAATATCTCCACTACCACAGTTTTGACCAAGTTTCAAATGCAAAGTTTCTATAACTGGAGCCTTGTGCAGAAACAAAGATCTCTCTACAAACCGCGAAAACGTTGCATACTCGGGGCTCTGATTAATATCAATGATATGATCATCGTAGACGAGTCTTGGCATGTACATCCAAAGAAACTTCCAACGTTTTGACAAAACCATAGTGGCAACAACATCCTTAGCAGAAGGACGTAATGACAATATTTTCAAGAGAAGCTCATCAGGCAAGTGACTTATCCTGTCCATAATTAAAAAGAACTAACCCCTTTTTTAGAAAGTCCAATTAATAGCCTTCGGGTTGTGTATAAATCAGAGATCAGAGACGGATGCCTGAAAACATAAAACAAGAAACACGAAGAACTTGGGATATGAGATTTTCCGGAACCAATCAAATAGTCATAACAAAACCCTAGCGAGGTTCAGAACAATCCACAATCATTGAGCCCTCAAAGTATTACAGTAAATACAATTTATGAACAACTTACTCTTTGGAGATCAAAAGAGACGACGAGAATCATAAAACCAAAAAAATTCACAGCATTAGCAAATACCTAGAAGGCTACAACCTCTCGCGTGATATTGTTTTTAGACCCAAAGAAACTCTTAAAAAAGTGTTTTTAATTAGAACTTGGTTTTTACTGCATTTATTTTTGAGATATTATCATCTAATTGGTGATATTTTATTAAAACAAAACAAATTTGTCAGATGATGTGTCAAAACAATATACTGTTTGTAAAATTCCAAAAGATCTTCCCGTAGGCTTTAGCCTTTGTAGCCAAAATTTATCCAATAAACACTAAATAGGTGTCGTTCAAAAAAAAAAAAAAAAACACTAAATAGGTGATAAACAGAGAACAAGAAGATTGTTTACTTTTAAGTTTATCAATTCCAATGGATTCTCTCCAAAAAATAGGTGATAAACTTGCTTCTGCTGGATGCTCCGGAAGATAACCAAACCAAACGGTATATGAATATGAAGTTAAAACATTCAATGAATCCAAAATATTATGGGTTTTAGTCTTTTAGATCACAAAATCTTTATTCTAAAAATGTAGAAACAAAAAAAAAAAAAAAAAAAAAAAAAAAAAAAAATCCAGAATATGAGTCCTCGTTGGATTTCCGCAGGATAACAGAACAGAGATGTTTTTGAAAGAAAAAGAGGAAACCATTATATGGTAATGGTGATGTCACTTGACTATTGACCACGTTATCTCCCTTAGATCATGAGCCTGTAACTTCAGTCAAACACGAGTTGACAAGTCGGAGAACGCCTTGGCAAAAACGACAACTCCTTGACCATTTTAAACTTCCTGCGGCTGTTGGATTTAGGGTTTATAGTAACATTCCCTAAACAGTTTGCGCTTCTTAAGATGAATGCTGCTACTCCTTTCTCTTCTTGTGTTCCTCGATAGTTCACCCATTTGAGAGTTTTGAGACTCGATAACAAACACTCAGGAACTGAGCTCGGTTCGCTCCAGTTGAGGCGCGGTTCATTATCCTTAAGGTCATGGCACTGAGATAAATTTGATAGGACAGAAATACAGTGCATTATAGATCATCATCATTATATATATACACTTGTCAAGGAAAGTGAATAATTTTGGGAAGAAATATACGTACCTGTTCGAGTTTGAGAGATTGTAAAAGAGGGGCATCACTGAGCACACGCATAAGTAGACTCGACCATTCTTTCCCACATGTGCATATCTTTAAAAATACAAGATTGCAGAAGACACTACCAGCAAGATACGCATTCTGCATAAGAGAGATAACTAGATAAATATAAGCTCATCAACAATGTTAGTGCCAACAGATTTGATCATACGAACTCGCAACAGATTTACCTACCTTTGTGGTTGGTAAGCAGATATGAAGACGCTTGGCTGAAGTTAAAGAACCAAGAATATGCTCAGTATGGGGACGAGTCATGACGACATTTGCCGACACAATCTTGCTCATGTCATTCGCAATGACACAAAACCCTTTGCAATCATTAACAATGTCCAAGCTCTCCAAAGAAGGAGCATCTATCACAAACCCACTTGCCTCGTCTTCATCTCTCTTTTCTGACGTACGCAGGACTAATCTCTTTAGATGAAGCATTCTGACGCTCAAAATAGGCACTTTGTCATTTCGACGTTGCTTCACGAACAAGTCTTCAAGAACAGGACACCCGGATAAAAGCCTGTCCACAAACTCACCACTTGGGAACTTCATGTATTTAAGACTCAGTTTTTTTAGGTATGGGAAAGAAATTGGGGAAGAAACATCGTCCGTAAGAGCCGCGTGACTTAGTTCCAAGGTCACAAGCATTTTGCAGCGTGTATACAAGCTCTTAGGAAGAGCCACTCGAGATTTATTATCAGAAGAAGAATCAATCTCGATAACCAGCTCACGCACACAGCGTCTCTCTGCAGGTCTTATCCACAATCCGATATCTTTACTACTATGGTCTGGACCAAGTTTTAAATGCAAAGCTTTTATTGTTGGAGCGTCGTGCAGTAACAAAGACCTTTCAACAGAACGCGAAAATGCAGGCTCATCATCATCATATTCAGTATGATCGTGCACGAGTTTTGGCACCATCGTCCAAAGAAATTGCCACCGTTTTGACAAAAGCATAGTGTCCACAGCATCTACCGTTGACAGTGACGACAATATCCTCAAGATAAGCTCATCAGGCAACTGACTTATCCTGTCCATATTTAAGAGCTAATTAACAACTTTTTTTGAAACTCCAAAATCTTTCAGCGTCCTTGAAAATCTGAAACCAGAGACGAAAGCCTGAAAACATAAATTAGACAAATAAGAAATATGAGATTTAATTTTCAGTTTGTGTTGTTCACAGGAACCAAACAAATATTCATAATTCAAAGGTCAGAGCAAAACCCTAGCGAGGTACAGAACAACCAACAGATAGAAGGAGACAAAAACGAAACCCAAACTCCTTCGCAATAAAACGAATCAGACAAGTATCAGAATCAAACGTAATACGGCTATATATAATACTAGGGTTTAGCTTACACTTTGCGTGGGTTTAACTATACGTAAAAAAAATAACGAAGACAAAAAGAAAAAGAAAAATTAGATATTTACGTACGTTCAGGTCCGGTTCTGTGCTGAAATTTGTGGTAGGAAAACGAAGAACGCTAAATTAATCTCAGAAGCAGAGAAAGAAAAAAACAAACTTGATGGTTAGCTTGATTGTCAGAATTGATGAAAGCTCTAATTGTTCTTGTTTGATTGTTAGTTTTCACTTTTCAAAGGAATTTCCAAATTCTGATAAACTAATAGAAAGGAAACATTAGGAATTTCCAAAACAGAATAAGACAAGTTATTTTTGCTTTATGTCTTGGACGACACGGAAGAGCATGAACTTAAAAAAATAATTCAACGAGCTTAATAAAGAAAAGATAAATCAAACATAAAATGTTCTTTTCATCAAAAAAAAAAAAAAAAAAAAAAAAAAAAAAAAAACATAACAAGTTCTCTAGTATCTTATGTAAGATCTCAGATCCAGAAAAACAATGTTACTTTGATTCTTGAACATAACTCCACTGGAATGCAAGAAGACAGGCTGGTGAGCGCCTAGATGATAAGGGAAAATCCTTGAGCATCTCAAGCTTCTTGTTGTGGTCAGTAATGGATTAGAGGAGATAATAGTTGCCTTCTTTAAACAGCTTGAAACTCTTAAAATGAACGCTACTACTTCTTTCTCTGCTTTTGTTCCTTTATAATCTACCCACTCGAAAGTTTCAAGACTTGATAACAAATATTCAGACACCAAGCTCGTTTCATCCCAGTAAGGGCACGGCTCACGACGCCGAAATTCATGGCACTGAGATACAAGGAATGCGCACTAGATCAATATAATCATCACAAATTAAGACACTTAAATGAATTTGGTTGGAATATATGTATATATATATATATATATATATATATACCTCTGCAAGTTTGAGAGTTCGTAGTTTAGGAGAATCTCTGAGCACACGAATAAGTAGATTCACCCATTCTGTCTCACATGTGCACATCTTTAAGTGTACAAGATTGTAGAAGACGCTGCCAGCAGGATACACATCCTACATATACCGAGATGTGCAGTGTCAATATATAGTCTAAACTCGAGTGTTGCCCTAGTGGATTAGAGATCATAATTCATACATACTAGGTTTCAAGCCCCGCGCAAGCGCGGGGTTGTTTGCAATAGTTTTTCTATTTAATTTTATTTATACTTTTGATTTGAATTATGATGGTTTTGTATTAACTTTCATGTTTTTGTTATGTTTTGAGTTAACTCAACCACTAACACTAAAAAATATGAATAATTTGTTTTTTATTTTAATTTATTAGGATATTAACACCCCGCTTTATCTCGAATTTTCTATTTCTAAAATTTATCATGTTATAAATATTATGTTTGTTTATTTTTTTTTTACTTCTATTAGACTGTAAACATGTATATGTATTTGATTGAAGGTTAAAATTTATAAATATGTATATGCATTTGACTGAAGGTTAAAATTTGTAAACATATTCTTGTTTTTCACTACAATTAAATTTACATATAAAACTCATTTCTATTTGTTTAGAAAAACAAACTCTAACTCTAATGTTTCATTAGCTTTCTATTATCTTAATTAATTTATATTCAACTTTTTAACTTGTAAACACATTATAACATTTTTAAATATGATAAATCCTTTGAATAAAAAGGTAAATATATACTATTTGAAGTTAAATATTTCTTTACTCCATCTCTATTTTATATTCCAACTTTTTGATAACTTTTAACATCAAATTATCACATACTTTCTATTAATTATAAATTTATTTGTATATTTTTATTAAATATGAATAAATGTAAAGAAATATGAATAGTCATATATTTAATAAATAATTTAAATACAATTTAATGTTTTTGTGCTGATGTGGACACTCTAGATGGAGAGAGTAACTCTCCTATTAGGATAAAAAATAAACTTTTGATAACTTAAAAACAATTAGGATAAAGTAGGATAAATCCTTTTAATCCTTTTTACTTATATCCAAACTTTTTGATAACTTTTAACATCAAGTAATTGCATACTTTATATTAATTAAGTAATTTAGTTGTGTATTTTTCTTAGTTTTATTTCTATTTGAAAATATAAATATAAATATAGGTAAAGAAATATGAATAGTCATGTATTAAATATCTTAAAAACAATTTAATGAACTTTTTTGCTGATGTGGATAGCCTAGATGGAGAGAAGAACTCTCTTATTATATATAAGATATACACAATTAAACAACATATACTTGTATTACCTTTGAGGTTGGTAGACACAGATAAAGACGCTTGGCTGAAATAATAGAACACATGAACGTCTTCCAAGGATCCCATTTACTATTGGAAAGCTCTGCGTCCACAATCTTAGTCATATTACTCTCAACGGAACAGGGCCCACGGGAAAAATCAGAAATTTCCACACGCTCCAAAGAAGGAGCATCTATCACATAGCTATGAACATCGTTATTAAATTTGTTTTCTAGTCTACGCAAGACTAAACTCTTAAGAGAAGGCACTCTTACACTCAAAACGCTAATATTGTCATCTCCACATTGCTCCAAAAACAGGTCTTCAAGAACAGAACAACTGGATAAAAGACTGCTGAGAAATAAATCACTTGGGTACCTGATCAATCTAAGACTGAGGTTTTTGAGGACTGGGAAAGAAATTGGGGTGGTGATATCATCCACAAGAACCACGTTACGTAGTTTCAAAGTCACAAGCATTCTGCAGCATGTATACAAGCTCCTAGGAAGTGTGATTGGAGTTGTATTACTAGAAAAAGTACCAATCTCGATATTCAGCTCACGCACACGGCGTTTATCAACAGCTCTGATCCACACTTGGATATCTCCAGTACCACAGATGTTAACAAGCTTGAAATGCAAAGCTTCTATAACAGGGGGTTCGTGCATAAGCAAAGATCTGTTGACAAACCGCGAAAATCTTCCATACTCGATATCATTATAGCTATCATCGTATATGAGTTTTGGAACCATCGTCCAAAGAGATTGCCACCGTTTGACAAAACCATTGTGGTCACGGCATGTTTTGCATGAAGTAATGACAATGTTTTCAAGAGAAGTTCATCAGGCAACTGACTTATCCTGTCCATAATTAAGAGCTGATTAACACCTTTTTAATAAAAGGTCCAAAGCTTTCAGCTTCCGCAAAATTCGGAAACGAGAGACGAAAACCTGAAAACATATCAAATAAATTAAGGATATGAGATTCTCATGTAGTCATGAGCAACTACGCATGGTCAATTTTACACATGAAAAACAAAAAAATTCTAGGCATGGTCAAAGCAAAACCCTAGCGAGGTAGAGAGCAGAACCAACCACAAATAGAACGAGAAGCAAACGAAATCCAATAAAATTAATATTACTGTACATGTAAATACCTTAACCTATATCAATTAAAATTAATATAAATATAAAATATAAATTTATGCATAAAATGGTTCTTGATAGATAGATAATTTTTATTTTATGATTTACACCCAAAAAAAACAACATACAAACCATTTTATTAATTTTCAAATTATGTTGTATTTACTTATCATAAAAAAAAAAAAAAATTACACTGTGTTCCTTGTATCTACTTTTTATAATTTTATGATACGACAACTCCATAAAAAAATTCTAATAAGAGACTTTGTTTTTTGGAAGGTACTCTAACTGTCTAACAAAGCAAGATACAAAGAGCCAAAACATAATAATCATATATATAAAAAGAGGTCAACTCTCTCCATATATATGATATGTGGACACTCTTATAATTAACATATGGCATGACTTTTCATTTTATTTTCAATTTATAATATTAAATTTTATTAATTTGCTAAACATATTAGTTAATTATAATTAAAACCACTTTATTAATTCAAAATTATTATGTTTAGTTTCATCTTGAATCACTATTAAATCATATAAAAAAGAAACAATTCTTTTCATATTTTGGATATGTGGACACAAGAAAATATGACATGTGCCAATAAGATTTTTGAGTTTAAAAAAACGAAAATTGACTTTTCATTGTCTTCTCCAGTTAACAAAGTAATAAGTTACCAAGTACAAACTCATCACGTGTGAAGCTAATAACTCACTTTTAGAGATTCCTCTTGTTATAATGGAAATTACTTAATTATTCCAAAAATGTTACTCTTCGGCTTCAATTTTAAGTTATTATTTTAATATATAAATTATCTTAATATACTAAGAAATCGATCCAGCGAAAAGCAATGGCAGGGAATTAGAATCTATTATATGTAACGATGAGTAAACACATAGAGTTAAGGGGACGTGGGGTATGATGCAAAAATATATATTTGAAAGTCAATCGCTAAACAAATAAGTTGAAATTAAGTTGTGGGGGTTTTTTATTTCGAATTTCTAATATTACATATCATATCAAAATATAAGCCACAAATTCATAATTTGTTTTATAATATATTTTTTAACTATAACAATAGAAAATCATGCGCGTATGCGCTTGGTCTAGTGTTGTTTGAAAAAGAAAATGAACAAAGACAGAACAAAGTGCAAAGAGCTTCTGACATCTCAGACCAAACACCAACCAAGATAAAAGTAAACTTAATTGCGTGTTGAAGATGTCTTCTCCTATAGAGCTTAGACCTGTGTAACTTTCAGTCAAACGCAAGCCGGCAAGTAGGCGAACCCCTCGGCGAATAAGATAACTCTCTGATCATTTCAAGTTTCTCACGGTCGCTTGTGGATTCAGTTTTTATAGTCACTTTCTTTAAACAGCTTCCATTTCTTAAGATAAATTCCACCACTTGTTTCTCGTCTTCTGCTCCTTTATACTTTACCCATTCCACAGTTTCAAGACTCGATAACACACATTCTGGAACTGACTTCGGTTCACTCCAGCACTGGCGAGGTTCAACAGCCCACTGAGATAAACGAGACGAGAAGTATAAGTTCATTAGATCATCATTATATACTAACTCGGGTTTGAAATTCATGTACCTTTCCAAATATGAGATTTTGTAACTTAGGGGAATTTCTGAGCGCATCCATAAGTAGACTCGACCATTGTTTCTCGACTATAAATATCTTTAAAGACAACAGAGAGCAGAAGATAGTACCAGCAAGATGTGCGTCCTGTATAAGACACGGCATTAAGATAGTGGCAATAGTGATCACAAAGAGAATCAAAAGATAGTTTCAGTTGTTCAAAAATTCGGCTTTTTCCCGGATACTCGGGTTCAAATACCCATGGATTCGCTTGTTCCTAAAAGGAAATCATGAAAGCAGATGGAAGAAACAGCAATGTTACCTTGGTACATAAATAGAGGCGCTTGACTGAAGTAATAGAACAAAGAATCTGCTCAGGATGGTCACAAGAAAGTACAACAGTTGCCTCGACAATGTTAGGCATATTACTCTTAGCGATGAAAAACCCGCTTGTAGAATCAAAAACCTCCAACAGCTCCAAAGAGGGAGCATCAATCACATACCCATGAGCCTTGTCTACAAAAGATGATTTTCGCAAGACTAAACTCTTTAGAGAAGGCACGATGATGTTGAAAGTGGCTACATTGTCACGAAGGTTTCGTCTCACAACCAAGTCTTCAAGAACAGGACAACTGGATAAAAGCCTGTTGACAAATTCATCACCTGGATACTTCATGTTAACAAGACTCAGTTTCTTGAGATGTGGGAAAGAAACCGAGGAAGAAGAAGCATCATCAACAAGAATTGCGTTACTTAGTTTCAATGCCACAAGCATTCTGCAACATGTATACAAACTCCTGGGGAGTGTGATTGGTAATATACTTGTAGGATAAGTAACAATATTGATAATCAGCTCACGCACACAGCATTTCTGTGCAGCTCTAATCCACACCTGAATATCACCACTACCACAGGTTCGACCAAGCTTGAAATGCAGAGATTCAATAACTGGACCCTCGTGCATAAACAAAGATCTGTCTACAAACCTCGAGAATTTTCCATACGCAGGATTCAGATAGCTATCATCGTATACAAGTTTTGGCACATACATCCAAAGAAACTGCCATCGTTTTGACAAAACCATTGTGGACACGACATGTTTCGTTTGCAGTGACGACAATATCCTCAAGAGAAGCTCATCCGGCAATTGACTTATTCTATCCATTGTCAATTGCTAAAAAAAAAAACCCTAGCGATGAGATTTAAATCCAAACCCTAGCTATGGGATTTAAATCCAAACCCTAGCGCTCAAAGTTACTGAGTAGAGATTTTTCACGAACTCATCTTTCCGAATTAAACAAAGAAGACTAGAATCAGAGGAGTAACTTTATTTTCAACGATGACGATGATGAATTGAGAGACACCAGAAAACTACCAAAGGACAGAAAGGCCCAACCGAACGAGGGAAGCCCAATTCAACAGAACCGAACTTAACCGAATCGAAAATCAATAATCTAATTGGTCAACTTCCATTTTTTTGACAAAACCATTTTGTAAATTAGACACTTGGATTACTTTTATTTTGTTAACTTGAATTTCTTTCCTTGCACATTTTACTTCTTAACAGCTCAATTAGATTAAAGAAATTGAAATTGTCTATTCTTCTTATTTAAGGCAGAGATGATCATCTTTTCTTGAACCTCATAATTCAAAAACAACAACTCAAAGGAGGCAAAGCATTATAATTTGTATCAGTAACTTGCATTTTATTATTTCAGTACACAATGTCTTAAAGAAACAGACCATCGAACATCTTAAAGCCAAACCAAAAAAAAAACTCAATTACTCAGGCGGCGGGTGAAAACACAAAGTTTTCTTTTTTTATCCTTTCTGTTCACCTCAGTCTCACCGGCGAATTACAAAAGCACGCCGGAGAGAGAAAAAAATAGCTCCATTCCGCCATTTAGTTTTTTTTTTTTTTTAATTTAGGTTAATTAGATAAAAGCCGAAAATTTTTCAAACTATGCAAACTCTTAAAAAAAACTCCAAAATCAGTAAGTAAAAAACATTTTTGTTTTCTCCATTAAGGTGTTAAATCCACGTCATCACCTCTGTGATCAGAACTGTCTTCCGGTATAAGTCTGTCCGAAGCTCCAGTTACGAGGAGTAACGTTGTTAGACACAACTGTACGGCCATCGCTAGTGGTTACTTTGAAGGAGAGAGCTTGACCGTCGAGATTTGCGTTGCTTTGCCAGTTCTGTCCCCAGTTTCTCGACATGCTTTGCCATCCTGTCTTTGTTCCTTTAATGGAGACGGAGAGAACATCTCCGGCACCACCAACGTTGGTTACTAGTACGAGGTTAAAGTATGAATGGCCGTTGATCGTGAATCGTACCCCTCCTCTTCTCCGGCAAGCCACTCTGTTTCCATCAACAACAGAGCACACGATGACACGAATATATCAATAAAGCTCTTTCAAATTTCTTGTGATTTAACCGAACAGAGCTAAACCGGTATCGGAAACGTACCTCCGGTATTGGACAGGGACGACACCGGCTTTATATTGAGCGATACGGAGAAAAATGGGCTGAGCCAAATCGAAGTGATGCTGGGGAGGGTTACACCAACCTCCGGCGTTGTTGGCTTGAGCAAAGTTGGGCGGACAAAAGTTTGTTCCGGTAACGGTGATTGTTCCCCGACGACACCATTTTGGGTCGTTAACGCACTTTATCTGAAAACAAGCGCCGCAGCTTTGGCCTCTGTTGAATAGAGCCGTGCTTAGCGCCGCCGTGTTCGTGCCGTAACCTTGACTATATAAGTTCCCGTAGCCACACGCGCCGCCTGATCCCAGAAAACAAAATACCACCGGTTAGCCAAAAAAGAGAGTGTATTTTTTTTTATCAAAACGCTTAAAATAAAATAAATTGAGTATCATATTATCATCACTCATTTAAAATTGGTTTAAAACGTTTTGCTAATTCATTTTTGTTTTAATACGGTCTTTGTTTTGAAAACAGAATTTCAGTTTTATACAACTCATATTACTATAGCATATTATTACATTGTCTACTTTTAGTTTATATATAGCCAAATTACAAAACTTTTGTCATATAAAGTAGATAGCATACTAACAACTGCACACATTAAAAGAAAAAAAAAAAAAAAAAAAAAAAAAAAAAAAACATATTCACTTTAGTAGATTGAAGCTGTTTTCAAAAAATTCTTAGAAGGCTTTTGGAATCAGCTGGAGAAAATATGAATTATAAATAGCGAGTGTGAGATAAAAGAGCTTCTTACCCATGGTGCCAGAAGCATCAGCACCTCCATAGAATGTGGCTCGAGCATTGACCCAGCCACTACTGTAACAATCCACACTCTTCCACATAATCATCATCATAAGACTCAATGACATTATCACTTTTCCGAAAAACTCCATTTTTTTGCTTTTGTCTTCTGCACAAGAAAAGTTAATGATAAGTTGAATGGAAACAGAATATGAGTGTGTATGTATGTAAAAATATGGGAGGAGAAGAGATGGAGGAAGATTGGAGCTTACAATGGCTTGGAGAAAAAAAAATGAACCACGCAAAAAATCGTAGTGATGTTACTGGAGAAGAGATGGTTTTGTGGTAGGTTGTGAATTATGAGGTGATGGGATGGTTATATATAGAAATTCCTGCAACTGAAAAAAAAAAATATTAGTGTTTATTAGTTTTAGTTTTGTTTTTCCAATATGACACGACAATTGATTCATGAGCTAATTAACCTTTTAAACCATATTCCCTCCGTTTTGTTTTAACGTTTTTCCCTTATATATTAAAGCAAAACTAATTTTTTTATTACATTCCTTATCAATCTACTCCTGTTATGTGATACAATTCGACTAATATTTTGAATCAAGTCACATAATTTTTACTATTCAAACCGGAAACCAATGAATAGCTAGATGTGATAGTGATCCAATGGTAGAAAGAATTGGTGATAAATTTTAAATCCTACTCCCTTGCATTTGATTTCTATTAGAAATATCTTTGCTTTAATTTGACTAATTTTGTATATCTTGTTAATACAGTATTATCTCCGTTTCTCCGTTTCAAATTAGTTGTCATTTAGGAAAAATTTAACTGTAATTATTTTGATATATCTAAATGTGTTTTAAGTTTAATACATTCATATAATACAAATACATTTTCTCAAAATGACAACAAATCTTATAACGAGCAGCATCGAGATTACCAACTTTCTCGTTACTTTATAAGTGGAGACCTCATATTATGGGGCTAAGTTGACCATTTGACCTTCTATATTTATAACTCCAAGTTTCCAACGCCCACTCGGATGGATACATTGGAAATATAAAACACTTTTTTCTGACCGAAGAGTTTAGATGCAAATTAAGAATGGTCTTTGAATTTTACAACAGTTAGCTAATTTTGCGTGCCTCTAACGAAGTCTATCGTCCAGAGCTACTCGGTGATGATCATTGTATTAACATATTTTTAAAAATACATTTGATTAGTGTTAACGATGGCTTTGGATTCAAGAGCATTACACTCAAATAGTGACATGATAATAACGACTAAAGGCAAACTCTGAGTTAGTATATTTACATGTTGTTCCATCAAGTACATTATTACAGCCTAATTAAGGAAGCTTAGTCAAATTAATAATAACAATCATATATTCATATTGTTTGTTTTTTTCATAATAAAAGTATTGCGAGATTCATCTTAGTTATCACATTTGCATCTAACCTATACCAAAATTGTTCATTAGATTAATTTACATAAAATATTTGATTAAATTTGCATATTGCAAAAGTTGACCAAACCTAAAAAGGAGTTAATGTTTTGCTTCAGAAACAAGGTTTGGGTAGCTGTTTATATCTTCTTATAAAGTTATTAACTGAAAACCGCAAGAACAGAACATATGCTTTTTCCCAACACATTCAACTACTTTCCCCAAAGTAAACAGAAAAAGGAAAGTAAGAACAAAGCATTAGCATATTACACTACAAGATAAATATTAAAACAAATAAAATGAGGATAAAGAAAGAAAGTAAAAAGGTGTAAAGAACACCGACCAACACAAGAATTTGTTTTTCGTTGGATTCTGTATTTGGATGAAGAAGAGTGTTTTGTCCACAGAAAGAAAAACTTATAGTGAAAACTAAGTTTAGTCTACGGTAAATTATTGTTCATCCCAAAAATAATGTGGTCCAGTCTGCAAAAAAGTTAATCTGTTCTCCGATTATTACCTTTCAACAGGGTCGGTCCTGAGGCAAGCCGAGTGAGTCTTTTGGCTTGGCCCCCAAATTTTTTTGAAAAAAATATATATTGATTTTGGTCCCCAAATTTTTTAAAATCGATTTTTGACCTCAAAATTCTTTAAGTTTTACTAAATTTTTCTGGCCCCCGATTTTTCAGGGCGGCCCTGCCTTTCAACTCCATAGTTATATATATTCTATGGAACTTGTACTTTTTATCTACAAACGGAATCAAAGCCTGACTTTCGGCGACTGTTCCGTGCAACTGGAAATAGTATTTCTTTCAGTACAGATTTTTTTTTTAAACACACATGAAACAAAAAAAATTGACCACCTCAATTTCAGGATCTACAGTGACGTTCATGTGACACAAATCGTCTAACTTAAGATTTGCTCTCAGAACTTATCATTATTAACCCTTCAATTAAATTATTTACCACGTTATTTAAGTCAAATTAAAATATAGAAATAACTTCTGGATAGGCGTACACTCTTCAGTAACGCATTACAGTAGTGATGTGTTGATTTAACAAGAGTTAGCATGTTCTTAGTTTGAGACATTGTGATACATGAAGTGAATTTATAGACTGAAAGTTGCAAACAAAAAAGAGGTATTATTAATTGAAATGATGAGCCATTTTTACTACAGAGTTCATGATTTACTATGTAAACTTATATCAGACTTAGAGTGATTATGTTTACACACTACTATAATCAGTTTATTATAAATAATGATTAATCGTCTAAAAATCAATAATTGTGGTACGTAGTATAATGACGAATATAGCATCCAACAAACTTCTAAAACGATTTTCTTTTTTGTCCAATCCCGTTTTTAACCTATAATTTTTATTATCAAGTGACAGTGGCAAACTTTGAGACTTATATGATTACGACCCGTTATAGTCGATAATAAAAATTACTTAATCATGCAAATGAGTTACGTGCGCATTTCATTCACTTTTCTTTCTCGAATCCTGTTAGGATAGTGTAGATAATGATGAAATCTTTTCTTATGCAAAGTTATTATACTTCATGTTGTATATCAATATACTATATAAAAAAACTATAGTGATACATAAAGAATATATATAACTATGTTAAACTAATTATATGGGGATATAATCATTCGAATGTTCTCCCCTTTACAGCTTAAATCAGCAAAAGTTCAATACTTTACAGCTTCAATATATCACAACTCGATGACAACATCCAATTCTATATATGTATATACGATATATTGTTAAACAACCACAAAACTAATGAAATCACATTCTTCTTGATTGTAATTAATATCTTTAGTCATGGTTCGTTTGTTTCTTTATAAATAGTGTCTTGATAAGGATCGGGCTACAGAAAGTTGCTTTAGTCCCACACGCATGTAACATTTGTTAGTTTTTTTTTTTTTGTTTTAAACATTTGTTAGTTATCATGAGCTATTTTAAACAAATTTAATCACATGGAAAACTGATCATTTTTTGAAAATTTATTACGAGTAATTTGATCTACACAGTTTTCATATAAACTATTTAATTACGTTAAACGTAGCAGATCAATTATGGAAAAAGGATACAATTAACGAGCGTTTGATGATAAAAAGTTAAGAGTTTTGTGCAAAAAAAACACCGAACTAAATTAAATTTGCAAATGGCGTATGATCAGTTTTCCTGGCGTATTTTCCTTCTCGACTATTCCCCATGCAATGGGAAACATTTGATCATTCGGATCTCTCTCGCAAGCCACTATAAGCATACCATTCATTCGCCACTTGAGGAAAGTCCCATCAAGATGAAGTATCTTCCTACACGCAACTCTCCATCCTGTTTTCAATGCACCAAAGTAGACATAAAACTTTTCGAACTCAGTTCCCTTCACCACCAGTTCCACTGTTGACCATATTGATGATGTGATTGCATGGGGATGGGGAACATTTGATGATGAAACATTTTGTATATACATATACTATCAAAAATGATTGATGATGTGACCATTTCCATCGCAGAAATTAGTATTGCTGATGCAAATGTTGCGCCACCAAATAGATGCACGTAGTCGTGTATAAATTATTACAGAAATGGTTTAATAGACTAATACATATCACATCTGCACACCATACTGATGTTTCCACATGATTTCATTTAATCTTTAACAACAACAAAAAAACATGATTTCATTTTGGATACACTAATGATATTGACTACTCTCATAATCAAGTAAACAAAGGCAATCGATAACACGGTGAAGAGTATCGTACATAATCTTAGTGAATCAACTCGTTTTGTACAATTTGATATTTTGTTGGATTTATATATCATTTGATGCATCTTTTTCTCGAGTGAATTGAGATTTAATTCAATATGTTTTGTTTCTTTTGTGAAGCTCGTGATTTCTTGCCGGGAAAGTAGCATGAAGTTAACATAACCAAATCTTTAACCTGAAAGTCGTAAATGAATCAAGTAATAGCCACGTGGCCACTTGTCGTTTCCCGCGCTCCGCGTCTGAGCAATTTTTTCTCCGACAAAATCAATTTTATTTATTGTTTTGGTTTGAGAATTTCAATGTCTGAAACTAAACTTAGAGTTAAATTTGATGTTTTAGACATTAAATGTACTCAAGTTTAGACAAAACCCCACGTATTACCTTAAATGATCCGTACATTTCGGATCGATAACTTTATTTCAGGTTAAAGTAGAACATTATTTTATCTTTTTTCCTTCATATAAACAGTAGTATTCGAAACCAAATAAATATCACCAAAACAAAAATAGTAACAGAAGGCTTTTGTTTGGGCTAAAGCCTGAGTCCAAAACTCGAAACCCTCCGGAAGCAAAGAGGCTTTGGTTTTGCCGTTACTAACACGTCACGCACCCGTTAATCTACGCGCCATAACTATCTCTCTTCGGTTCTCCAAATTTCTCTTCCTTTTTTGCCCTATCAGTTTCTCCATCGCCACCGTCAGAGTCAAGCGCGTTGGTTCACGCTCCTCTGGTTTCAGGGCTCAGAGAAGAGAAGCCATGGTTGATCCTTTAATCAACTCAATCCGATCAAAATCCAAATCAATTATTTTCTTAATCAAATTCCATTGCTCTGTATTTGCAAATCCATCTCCTGTAGCATTTCATGAATCTTCTCGACTTGAGGATGCGAGAGATCACCAGAGATAAATCTACACACTCTGTTTTCAACTTCAATAGAGCTCTCACCAGCCATCTTCTTCACACCAACCCCTTTCATCATCTTCCTCATCATCCTCGACTCCTCCCACCTCCCTAAATCCGCATACAAATTCGCCAAAAGCATATAGTTACCGCTGTTATTCGGTTCCAACTTAATCAGCTGACTCAAAGCTCTCTCTCCAAGCTCAAGATCATGATGAACATTTGAAGCAGCAAGCAGAGATCCCCATATCGCAGCATTAGCCTCAAAGGGCATGGCTTTCAAAACTTCCTCCGCTTCTCGGAGCTTCCCTGCTCGTCCTAGCAAATCAATCACACATCCGTAATGCTCAATGTTCGGTTCAATCCCGTATTCCGATCTCATTAACCTAAACAAACGCTTTCCAAGATCAACCAAACCTACATGGCTGCAAGCTGAAAGGACTGCAACGAAAGTAACACCGTTCGGTTTCACTCCAGCTTTAACCATACGGTTAAACATCGCTAACGCTTCAGCTCCAAGCCCGTGAGTAGCAAGACCAGTGATCATAGTCGTCCAAGTAACCACATTTCTCTCGTTAACACTCTCAAACACCTCCAACGCCTTTGTTACATCCCCTGACTTCGCATACATATCGATGACCGCGTTGCTCAACGAAACCGCTCTCTTCATCATCCCTCGGTGATCAATGTAGCTACATACTCTCTCTCCCAACTCAAGTGAACCAAGATCAGCACAAGCTGAGAGTGCAGCCAAAAGCGTGACTTCGTCCGGTTCTACATTCTCCATCAGCATTCTCTGAAACACTTCAATGGCTTCTCCAGCTCGTCCACTCTTGGCGTATCCAGAGATCACACATGTCCAAGAAACCGCATTTCTCAACCAACAAGGCATCATCTCCAGCAAACCCTTTGCTTCATCCATCAAACCCATTTTTCCATAACCTGCTAATAACGCATTCCAAACAGAAACGTCTCTCACGCGCATTTCGTCGAACACTTTACGTGCATCGAACACACCACCACACGAAGAATACATCTGAATCAAACTTGTAACGACATGGACACTGGAATCGAATCCGAAAACCACCGTCTGGGAATGAATCTGCCTCCCGAGGCAAATATCAGATAATTGAACAACAATTCTCAACGCAAACGGGAAAGTAAAAGTGTCAGGCTTTGAGCATAAAGTCCAAAACTTTCTGTAAACGAAAACCGCGATTGAGTGCGCGTTGGGTTCGTCTGCGAGAGACAAAGATCTGATCATGGTGTTGTGGAGATATGTATTGGGTAATGGCTGGTGGGTGAATACAGAGTAAGCATATCGGACATGTCCAGAATTGGAACATGCCTCGACGAATTTGGCGACGATGAGGTTGTCTCTGTTTAAACCGGTTATGATCATTGAACAATGAGCTTGCTTCAATGTTCTGAGGTTGGTTCCATGGATTTTCAGAGAGGAAAGGAACCAATTTATGCCCGAGACAGTGGATATTCGTCGAATTTGCAGAGCGAGTGGTGGATGTAGCTGCAAGGCAGTGAATGTGGTGATTCGTTGCCACATTCTCCTATCGTTTGACTATAATGCGGAAAATCGAGTTTAACTGTTTAAGCACTTTCATGAACGCAGCATTTTTTTTCTTCTTAAATAACTGAAAAATAAAACTGATTATTCTGACGTCAAAATGGCATAATCAAAATCTCTAGAAACACAAAAAAAAAACACAAATTTTGAATGCTTTATATTAGAATGACAATCTTATGTTATTTGATTTAAAAAGTTTTCAAAATCTACTGTTATTGGACTTGTGATTTGAAATTATACTATCAAATACAATGTAATTAAAAATATTTTAAGCAATACTCCATGCGTTTTATATTAGTTGTCGTCTTTAAAAATGTATATGAAATGTATGTACAGATGTATTTTCAAATACATCCAAATATATTTCATACCTTTCTAAAAACGACAACTAGTATGAACGGAGTGAGAAGATTTTAGTTTTTTTTTTTTTTGTGATTTAAAGTGTTTTGGTAGATTTTTTAGTTAAAAACACAAATATCATTCATATTGAATTACATTACTAGATGCTTTGGTTTATAAGTCCAACCCTACACATTCGCATTCAGGTACTCCAAGAACTGTAACAACACACATTCACTTATAGAAGAAGATAGTTAGATACGAACAAACAAACACTTAGGTTTTAGTCAGCTTCAAATTCGGATGGCTGAGAACACGACGAGTCCATAGAAACAAGTCATATGGAGAAGTTCTCGGGTTGTAGCACGCTTCTCATATCGTTTGAAGAGCTCATCGCATAAGTCCGGTCCAAGATAAGCCTCGACCATAGAACGAACAGCGGTTTGAACCAGATTGGACCTGGCCCGTCCGTACGCAACCGGATCTTTCTTCCACTCTTCTTTTCTCTCATCAGTGTGATCAATGGTTGTCATGTATTCCAATTTCTCTATCTTGAAACCACCGATACGGTCAAACCCGGCTGCCACTTCCTCCGGGCTTCTCATGTACGTTGGAATGTTGAAACCGTCTCTTGTTTCTTCATCTATCAAACCCTTTTTATCCAAATTATAAACAGTAAATCTCTAATCTATTAGATAGCAATATATTTCAGATGATTTGTGGTAGAAAAAAAGACGAATAAAACATGGGCGGTGAGAAAGATAGTTTTCACATTTTGGAAAAAATTAATAAATTATATCTTATATCTATCTCTACACAATAAAAATAAATTTGCAAGAGTATACAAGTATCTTTTAAAAAGGAATTTGCATTAAAGTATTTGACTCTATTTTTTTTTTTTAAACGAAAACAAAAGTTTAAAAGGACAAATATTTTAAAACGAAAAGAGTATGTAAAAATTGTAAGTGGCATTTTAGCTGAAAACACGTGAAAAGATAAGCTAAAAATGCCAAAACTCACATATAAACGTTCCACAATATAAGAAAAAACCAAAAAAACAAAAAAGTAACGGACAAGTGTTTAACCAAGCGATTCTGCCGTTACTTCTTACCAATTAATGCAAAAGTCACAAAGGTCCACTTAGACCGCATGTTTAACGGTTATGTAATGAAAACATGGAAGATATGATGCACAAATCATGCAGCCATCAACCTGCCTAACCACACGTGTGTAAATGTATAGATTTACCTCATCTACTAAATCTTGCCAAGCTTGTTCCATAGTAGTTGTGAGAGGATGTTTGGCTCGAGAATCTTCGTCTCCAATTTGACTAACTGAGCCTGAAGGACGACCAGCCATTAACACAAACAACACTCCTCCTTTCACCATTTCTTCTTTCCGACACTTCAAGAAAGCATCTAAATCTTTTTCTGATTGCTCTGCGAACGCATCAACCACTTCTCTCTCTGCTCCTTCGATCCACGTCCTTCCTCTGTTCCACGTTTTCGAACCTTTCTCCAACACTTTCTCCGGTATCTACAATTTTTCAACTTCAGTCAGAAAATCGACCTATTTATCAGTGCACATTTTTATAAACAGTTTTGATATTGGGTGTTGGTGTAATGTTCTTGTTCTATGAGCAATCAAACTAATCAAGTAAATGTAAATACTTTTTAACATTAGTAGAGTACAATTTAACTAATGTTAAGTAATTTGGCCGATGGACATATTTCATATATAGTTAAGATCAATATAAAAAAATTTCCAATAACATATATACGAATGAAAATGAACTTAAATAAAAAACGTTATAATGTAAAAAGTTATAAAGTATGAATTAGACCTGAGAGAGCCAATGTAAAGCACTTAAGCTCACAGCGACATGGATCGTTCCTTTCGGGAAAAGCCGATCATAAAACGAGCCAGCGACCCCGCCGGCGAAATACGTAGACGATTCGATTTTCTGTTTCTCAGTCAACAGTTTAAACAACATGTTGAAGTCATTAGAAGGCAAATCACAGAAGAAAGCCTCAAACTCGGGCTGGCCACCACCGTACACGGTGTTGTATCCCCGCCGTAAAGTCTCAACCACCGTGTCGACAGTATTGAAAGTGTTGGAGCCGGTGGCGCAGCCAAGGTCGGCTACTCTGATGGTCGGGAAGGTGTGGTCGTCGTCGGGGGAGAAGAAGAGTTTGATGGATTGGAGAGATGAGATAAGGAGGGGTTTGCTTAAGCTTATAGCTAAAGCTTGGCTATCGGAATTGTTGATGTAGCTGACGTCACCTTCGCCGCCTTGCATACATAGTACACGGTGGAGACTGGTGGTGGTCCAGTCTTTGGCCGGCATCGGAAGGCTTGGTGACTCCATTAGTGTTTCTTTTTTCTTTCTATTGGATATTGTAAAAGAGACAAAGAAAGAGAGAAATTTTGGTTTTGGACTTGCTAGTTAGAACTAGATGAGGCCTCGAATTTATACTCAACGCGTATATACACACACATTCATGTATCTATAGATACACACACATTCATGCATATTATTGGGGGGTTAGTGAATGGTTAATTCTATTTTACCAAAATATAGAGTCATTTTTGTTTTTTTTCACTTAAGCAAAGCATTTGATAATGTAACTGTCAAAAAATGATTTGTGTGTTGTCATCCATACACACAAAAACAAATAATAAAAAAATAACGTAACTGTCAGAATGCCCTTAGAGAATATTTAACTTACTATTGACACTTGGAATGTCTTCCACAGTGCCCTTACTTACAAACAAAAACAAAGAATTATACATTACAGCTATATACATATACACGTTGTGGTCAATATTGTTTAATAGAAAAGAAATGGGCAGTTACGTTTTACATTATATGGAGCACTATCTATGAAAGTCTTTGTCTCTCTGCTCTAGATTTTTTCCTCATTTTTGAATAATGATAATATGATATATGGCGATTTTTTTCTATCTTTTAAGGTTTATCTTTATTCTTCTAGAAAAAGATCTTAGTCTTTATTTATCCATCCTTATCTCCGTCACTTTATCTATGAATTGCTTTAAGTAGAGAGCTTATTAACATAAGTAGAATAACGATTTCGTGGACGTCTTATATTCTTATCTACATGACACTAAATTTAATTATTTTGCACTAAATGTGAATTTAATACAGAAACTGAATGAAACGTACTCACAATCACTTTAGATTTTTATGGCAGAAACTAATATAAGTAGAGTGATTTCCATTAATGTATTCGTTTTGGTAGGTCGAGTGACAAAAGATTGTTTATCAAAATGAGAAAATTCGAGTTAGGAAGATTATGAATGGTACATTGGTGGTTGATGTTTTACATCTTTTGCTTTTGAATTTTACATGTATTTTTTTTGCTGATTGATTATCATTTATATAAGTGAATATATTCCCATATATATCTCTCTCGGTAAACCTCATTGTCTGTTACAGCTTGGACAATTTCTTTTTCGTCGCTGAAATTTCATTTGTAACATGTTCTTATTAATTAAGAGTCTGAAATCAATTTCAGAAGACAACTTGCATCCATTATCTGTTTCTTTAGATTATGGTTTCAACTTCTTTTGCCAAAAAGAAATTGTACTTTGAAAACTCTGGTTTGGTGTGATTTGTGTCTATGTTCGCTTTCCAGTTCACAGAAGTTGGGATATGGTGTAGTATTTGGTTCTGTCATTTAAAGAAAATATAATTTGCATTTGGGACTAGTGGATATGTTCTTTAATTATCTCGTTCTTTTCAGACTTTGGTTCGGACATAAATTTCGATTCTTATTTATTTTGGTTTCCTATGATCTTTTTTCTTGGTACAAGGGTTTCGTCTGATCTTAGTTGAGAATGGTAGCAATTTCAGATCAACATTGACTAATCCACTGAGTTGCGGTCTGACCGAATCGATTCAGTGATCAGAATAATTTTCTGGTTTGTTTTCCTGCTCGGAACTAAAAACATTGATCGGGCCCTAAACGCAACTATCGGTACAAATAAATACCTAAAAAGAAATTAAAGTAAAGGGCCTTCACATAAAACAACTTTTAGAGAAAATGGACCTTTGACTATGGAGGGTTTAGAAGGTGAAGTGGTCCTTTATTACACCTATATAGAGAGAGTTAGAGTTGTCAATGTCCTCTTTTTAATCCTATGGTCCGAAATTCCCACTTGCTCACCAAATTTTTCTATAAGAATATTGTATAACCCAATGTGAGTACTTCTAATTGCTTTGGCATGCATGACACAGACACAGACTCATGGATGGGGAACTAATACTTACCCATATAATAAACATACTGTATATACAATTCTTTTTATTATTGGAATTAAAGAGATATAAAATGGACATTTAACATACAGCTCATCAATCGTTAACAAGTTCGAAAATGGTAAAGTAGATCAGTTGATAAGGGTGAATGGTTTGTGTATTTTAATGGATTTGGAAATCAACTAAAATACATAAACCAATAAAAGGGAGACTGAAAACTGAATTTAACTATATGAAGATTACAAGTTCCATAAAGACTGTGCGTGTTTTTTAAAACAATAAAATCCGATCATAGAATACAGAAGTTCACATAATCACATAGTACTCAATTAAATAATGTTGTAACTAAAATTTGATTAGAACAAGAGAGTGACCCACCGTACCAAAGATACATTGTTACATCAAAAGGAAAAGACTCTCTATCACATCAAAGTCGAGTGATTCGTTCCGAGGTGGGAACACTAAAGGCGTAGTGGACCTGTTTAAATCCATGACTGATCCCTAAGAGCATGTCCAGTGGTGATACTAGAGGGTCTCAAACATGATTTCACAACATTAAAATAATAGAAACAAATAAAAAATAAGGAAAGAGAAAGTCAAAAAGTGTGAGACGTATCTTACTGACGATACCGTATCAGCAAAAGAAGAGACTTTAATATGAAGTGGCATCATATAATTGGTTAATTTCATTTCTTATTTAAATTTAGTTATTCTTTAAAAATTATATTAATATAATATGTATAATATACTGAGACTATAGTATTACGGCTGGACATGCTCTAACTTTTTACTATGCGCTGTTCTTAATTTAACATATATATAATCATATTAATCATATTTTTGTTTATTTCTTAGCTTTATTTTCTTGTTTTAGTTCCATGTATCTGTAATTCTCTAATTTGTAGAACCCCCCAAAAAAATTAATATGACAACCCTTTTACAAAAATAATAATAATCATATTAATCAAATAAATCCATGAATGATCACTAACAAGCCTTATCTGGCTGAGCCGTTTCATAACTACGACGTACCAACCAGTCTACCACTACAACCTTTGACGCTGGAAATCGGTTATGCTCTTAGAACTGCCATTAAACGATGTTGAGAAACCAGCAAGTCGATCACAGGATAACGTTTGGAGTACTTATGATCAACTGGTCTAGCGACATTGTTTAAATGAATACAAATTTTCTAAATATAAGCTCTTTTATTTTTGTAAATAATTTATTTTCTGCCTTGATTTGAGAAAATCTGAAAAACTTGATTATCGATTCAGTCACTATAGTTGATAATTTATTGCATTCGTTTGTACTTTTTATGAAAGAACATGGAAAAATAATTGAATTAAAATAAGTTACAAAACTAAAAACCAATAAGTCTTTCAAACAAAAAGTGTCGTTTAACTAAAACTACTTTGTTCAGGGGAAGGGGGGGACCGGAAACAAAAAACTAAGTTCCATTAAAATTGAATAAAATATTACAGGTTCTAGGACTCTATGAATGTATATCTTAGTCTGATACCATGTAGGACATATAGTGTTCCACATTCTTGCATCAAATGATACATAGCCACGAAGACAACATTGTATTTTACAGAGCGAATGTATGTACATCTTCCGGATGACAATCTTATTGGTCCGTCATATTGCGGCCATATCTTCATTGGTATAGATAATTCTTTCACTATTCTATGAAATATATGTCATATATTTAATCACCATTACGAATTACAGAGTATATCACCATGTAATTTCTTTTAAAAGACATGTTCATTTTCAACACTTTACACAACATATGAACCAGTCAAAATAATATTTTTTTATCTCGGAGCTCTCTTTTTTTCTCATATATATATGGGTTAATTTTGAAAGTAGGCAGTTTTTAAGTTTTTATTGTGAAAAGAGGCAACACCATGTTTGATATTGGGAAAAGAGGCAAATTGGAGAGAGAAAATTTTTTAAATACAAAACTAACCTTGTGTCTATGAGAGAGATAGAGAGTTGAAAGGAGAGAGAATGGGTCCACTTTTCTAAACTTTATTTTCGTTGGAGAGAGAAAGTGTTGAAAAAGTAGATATAAAGAAAATTATTTTTGCCATGTCATCAAAATTTGTGGTTCACATAATAGAAACATAATAATATGGAAAAATATGTCATTTGTGATATAATAAGAAACAAAATCAAACAAACAATGTAAATAATAATATTCCCTTTCTTACTTTTAGTAAATTTACTTCTTTTTTAAAAAAAATTTGATTCATATATCTAATTAAAACATGCGTATCATATTACGATATACATATTAAAAAAATATTTTTTTTGAACATTTTCATTTATTTTGTTATAAACATAAATAATATACATAGATCTTAAACTATCAACATAAACCCCAAATTATCATCTCGAATTTTAAACTTGAATTCTTAATCCTAAAACCATAAACTTGATTTTTAAAAATTTAACGATAATATCTAAACCCTAACATGCTAGTGTATTAAAAAAAATGAATAACATTTATTTTAGTTTTAGGTATATTTAGAGAAAAAAAACTATTAAAAACTGTTATGATGTTCTTACATTTCAGTTCACATATTTTCTTAAATCTTAGACTTTGTTACCAAGTTAATTCAAAGAACTTAAACCCTAATACCTCACAATTATATCCTAAACCCTAAACCCTAAATAGGATTTTAAGAACTCTAAATGGGAAAATTTCAAAATTACACTCAGTTTTTAGATGTCAGTTTTCAAAACTACACCTCTGTGGTGTTTATTTTCAAAACTACATTTTTTTCATTGAGTAAAAGAGCTTTAAACCAAAAATATGAACTCTAAATCTTAAAATCTAACAATGACCCCAAAAGCTAAACCCTAAACCCCATAACCTAAATCCTAACCATGACATAAACCTTAAAATTGTAATCTCAAACTCTAAAATTGAACTCTTAACCCTAAAACCTAAAACCCTAAACTTGAAATTTTAAAAAATAACCATAATATATATAAACCCTAACATATTAGTGTAATACAAAAAAAATCATATTTAATTTAGTTTTCAGCCATGAACATAAAACCCTAAAATTGTAATA